GATTGGTGGGAGCCATTCGCAAAGGACCATTGCCAGTGGAACGCGAAATCGGTCGGTAGTCCAGAAAATGGTCAGACAGGCTCGAGCTTCGCAATAAAGATGATCAGATCGCCGTATCACGCGCGCGCTGCGCGCGCAACGGAAAAGTCTCACGTCGAGATGTTCGCGGGGGACACGGGTGCCGAGATCTCTGCGCGATCAAATTCGACGATCGCGGTCGTGTCCTGCGCGTGCACCACCAGCCTGAGTGTGTGCTCGAGGTCGGAAGGTGGCCGATGCTTGCGAGGACGCCGTTGGCGAGGTCGGCGGAGGAGGATGCATCCAGAGTGCTCCCGTCGACCGCGATAGTGTACGTCGAATGTGTGGCGTTTCCATAAAGTGTGATGCCAGTGCCTTGTGACGGCAGGGCGTCCGTGATGAGCATGAAACGAGAGCGAGAGCCAAGCCGAGCACGTACCTTTCCACGAAACCTGGAACGCCGCTCCGTCGAGACTCGTCACATGCAGACTCTTCCCGAACCCGCACCGGAAGCGAGATCTGAAAGCCCCAAATCACCTCCTCTGGAAGGATTCCAGCCAGCAGTGAGCGGGGAACCAGTCAAGGTGTCGCCGAAGGGAAAGTAAGAGATGTGGGGCTAGAATCGTCGACCGAGAATGGACTACGTTGCTCATTGATCATGAACGTAGTTGGCCTGCCAGATCCCGCGCTCGGAGTCGTCAAGACAGTCGCGGGGGGGAGGGGGGGTGTGAAGCGTGTGCGGCCAAGCCGTTGTATGTAAATGTGATAGCTGAAGTTTCCATGGATCATCAGGCTCTTTCATTGGCGTGCACGGATAGGCACGGTCCGTAATACGGATGCTGTTACGATGGAAATCACATCTAATCAAGTCAGGCTCGGGATGTCCCGTGACGCACTTGAGTAACGAACGAACTCGAGGCTCTGGCGGTCGCCACATACCCCGAAAGGCCGATCCTGATGCGGATACTGGGAGCCCAAAGGGTGGACGGTCGGCTGAATTGCGCACAGTTCTCTTTCGTTAGTGCCGTCGTGTGTGGGTCGTTGGGGCTGCCTGTCCGTGGGACATCCAGCGTGAGGGTGCTCTCCCAGTCGTGCCAATCGCATAAACCGTATCTTGCGACTCAGGGGTGATACAGCAGACGACTAGCACTAGCCTACATAATTAACTACATGGATCCACCCCATACAATACAATACAATTCCATTCACACTAGGCCCGGCACGGTGAACCCTGTGAGACGATCCCTTCTCCCTCGATGGCAGGTTTTACCACACCGACGGGCAGGTAGACACGGGGCGTCGCAACGAGCTTCAGTCGGTTATGTCTCTGAATCGACCCAAGAAACACAGGCTGCTGGATCTCAGTGCGAATCGAACCGAGGGAAAATGAGAGGTGTTCAATTGGCTAAATCGGGCACCTCTGGATCGGACCTACGGACGTCCGCAATTTCTGCTGACCCGTGTGTGGCTAGACTAGTCTTGCTCTGCACTCGCTGACGAACTGCTGGCCTCGTGTCGATCCTGTTAACCTCCATCTATTTTTCTCATCAATCACTCCGGTTGCAAGGGCCAATGTGGCTGCTAGCGCTTCTGTGTGTGCAATTTGAGAGATCGCCGCCCTCTGAGCGCCGGAACCCGGTCCTACATGTTGCCCGCATTGCCTTTCCATCTTGATCTCGCTGGCACATCGTGTTGTGCGACAATGATCAAGATAATCAAGCTCTGGGGTTTATATATTCCGACTCCCGCACACACGTTGGGCGCGCCGTCCCAAACACATACTCGAAGCGAGATTGAATTGCACTCCGACCTACAGATCAAGTAGGCAATTGAGCAAGAGACTGGTCAAGTTTCACCACAAAGTGAGTGCTGAGTGAGCCTCCACATGCCTGTCCGTGGTAATCGCACGCAGATCTTCCTGCATGCTGCTCTGCGGCGCTGAGATCAGTTTTGGATGATGCGGAAGGATGTCCACCATCTGCACGTCAGCTGGGCTGTCCATCGGCGTTCAAAACCAGCAACAAGCATAATGCACGGTAGAGCCAAGCCGCCGCTCCCAGTCCAACCTGACAGATGGTAGCAACAAGTCCCTTGAGTGGCGCCTTTCGTGTTGATTATACATGTCGCAAGTTCAAGGCGGCTGTCACCGCCGCGAATATCCTCCGCAGTGGTTGGCCAACGACGAAGTAGCTTCTCATCTGTGGCGGGTGATGCCATGCTAGTAGAATCACGGGCAATGATCGACCATACGGAGTTGAGACCCAGCTGACCATGAGTCATTTATATCGACGGACGGACATGGTTCACCAAAACTGGGGCCCTGGAGGCTTATTGGGCAATGTGAGCGGCTGGGACAAAGTTGAATTACACAGCCGCTGATGGCGGCTTGTACAGCCACCCGTCACACATTGGCTCCTTCTACCAGCAGACGCTGTGCAAATGCGTCGATCATACCCTAATGGATCTCATTGACGCCAATAACCTCGTCGCAGGCACACCAACCTTCTTTCCTGCCTTCCTTTCTCACCTCCGGAGCTCGGCGCCTACATTACCCATCGACCCTGTCGTCGTGCAATCCATCCTCCTGTGTTTAGTTGCCGGGGACAAGCACCTCCTCCTTCGCGCTCCAGAACAGGACGTGCGGCTTGTGGTCAGGCTCGCCTTCTTCGTGAGTCGGATGAAATGATTCGCGGTTGCTGTTTGCTCAAAGGGAGGTCAATCTTGCTTCAAGACGTTATCCACTGTCTTTGGGCTGCCGACTCACAAGGTCAAGATTCGACCCAGGAGTCCCGCAACTCAAATTGACGCGGGAACGCCATTTCTACGCTCTCTGTTCATTCCATGGACTACCGCTTCCGACTTTCAAGATGACGCGAAATCGTCCATCAGGACTCGCAACCACGCGACATGGGCTCGGAGCACCACCAAGAAGCCCAGTCGGCGCTCCATGTCCAGCCCAGCGGACGCCGCGACACTCAGCTCAAATCCGTTCAGTGACAATCACGAGGCGTTTTCGGGATCGAGCACCACGACGAATCCTTTCGCTACCACGCCACGCTCAGCACGGACACGCCTCCCCTTCCCCACACCATCTCTGATCCTACCCCAGTCAGAGATAGCCGGCCCTCTGGGATGCAGCCAAGCGCCCTGGTAGTATCTGGTCTAGAAAACTCGGCGCTGTCCTCGCAACGTGCACTCACGCGCGTGCTGGCTGAGAAACGGGTCGTTCTGGAAGAAGAGGACGATGTGTATGACGAGGTCTGGAATCTGCCGGAGGGATTCATCACGGTCTATGTATGTCCTGTGGATCCCCACGAGCGACCTGCCATCCATAAGAATCTGGTCAGTGCCGTTCCTTTGTATTGGTAGCGCCGCGCTAACGCTCCTCTAGTTGGACAAATTTGCTATGAGCGCTACTGTGAACCCGCATGCTGCGACGCGAAGTCTGCTGACTCAAACGCGTAATTCAGCCTCGTTTCGGAATTCCCCTGCCGTGCACCCTGTTGCCCTGCCGCAGCAAACACCGACAGCCCCAACACAGTCCAAATCCTTGCAGCATCACCACTCGCTATCCTCACTTGCCTTTCCGCTCGTCTCCTCGTCGTTCCTGACCGACCTGCGGGCGCTGTATTCCCGGACGTATCTGAATCCTACGCTCAGTCTGTATGCGTCGGATCTGTTCTCTGCTGCTCGCCATCATCCTCAATTAGATGGGATGTGCCTCACAGCGCAGTCAATGAAGGACGCGACCGACCTGGCCCGCGCCGGTCGGGTCGTCGGCGCAGACTTGACTGGAATCGAGCTTGTCAGGGATGACGCTGCTTTCCTCGCGTTGCAGGGAAGCGAGCCTGCGCAGAATCAGATCTTCGATTCGCCTGACATCCCGGAAAGCCCGGAATGGCCCGAGCAGACCGACAGCAAACAGCATGTCTACCAGCCTGTGGAAGTCGTCATCGAAGACGCGGACCAACAGTCCATTGTGCCATCGGCCCTGACGGGGATGCCGGGAAGGACAGGCGAACAGGAGGTTCTGGAGGTCAGCGAGGCGGACATCGCCCGGATAGTTCCGCGGGTGATGACGCATCGTTTGCGGGTGCGGAATGGGCCCCGTGAGGAGTTGCTGGCGAGTGCAGTCTATCCCTTGGTCGATGATGAGCATAGTGTGGAGGTCATCGAAGCTGGGACCAGGATCACTGTCAAGGACATCCTGGTTCGTATATTGGCCGAGGTGTAATTACCGCACATGAATGAAACGATGAATAGAAGTCGGAGAAGTGCACTAAACCAAGTCTCGTGAGCGTAGCTAGAGCAGACAGAGTTGTCATGTATCCGTGCAGCCGGATCACCGGCGGGTCGCTGCGTACTGATCACCTTCTCTACCATGAACCACGACCACAGTATGCACTCCATGGATATGGACCACGGCGGGCACGGTGGCCACGATGGGCACAACATGCCCGCGGTCCGGTGCTCGATGAACATGCTCTGGTGCGACCAACAGCGTTCCCCGCGCCCACGACCGAACTGATATCGCCTACGAAGGAACACCCAGATCGTCGACACTTGTATCGTCTTCGAGTCGTGGCACATCCGCTCGCAAGCCATGTTCCTGGGGTCCTGCATTGCCATCGTCGCGCTGGCCGTGTTCTACGAGTATCTCCGCGCGTTCGCCAAGTCCGTGGATGTGCGCATCGCCCTTGCGTTGGCTGGACCGGGCAAGGGCAAGAGCCGCTCGAGCAGCAGGCCGAGAAGTGATGGTGCGTGTCTCGGAGAGTGGCCCGCCCACGCAGCGGCTGAACGGGCCGGGATGACTAGATGAGGACGCTGGCTTGTTGACAGGTCGACGAGTGTTCAACATTCATACCACGGGGTGATTACTGGTTCAATCCTTGCTAGACATGGGTGCGCTTACCGCACTACCTCCAGGACCCCCGTCCCACCAATGCTCCGCGTCCTGCGCGCTTCTCTGTACGGTGCAACCGTCTTCCTATCATTCTTTTTGATGCTGGTCTTTATGACCTACAACGTACGTTGCCTTTCGACTATTCCTCCTCGTGCATCGGTGAACATTCCCGCGTAGGGATATCTGATCTTCGCCACTGTATTCGGCGCCGCTCTCGGCCATTTCATCTTTGGGGGTACCATCAACGTCGATGCTTTGCTGAGCGACGACACCAAGGGCATGGCCTGCCATTAATGCATGCATACATAGTCGTCATCTATGGGACTTCTTGTATAGAACTGACTTACAGGAGAATGGAAGGAATTCACAACAACAGAGCGCCTTTCAATGGTTTGCAAAAGAAAATACACATTATGCTGGCTTCATCACGGTATCCTCATCCTTCTTCGCCAGACCTTCCTTCTCCAACAACGCATCTATCTCTGCAGGCCGATAGATCTTGGCTTTTGGCTCTTTGGTCACAGGATCCAGTGTTAAGACAGCGAATTCGACTGAGTGGGTAACCATGAGATATACAGGTCTCAAGAAAGAGAAGGGGACGAACGTTTCTCGCTGCCCAGCGTCGTGCTATCCATCGTCTTGCTCATCGTCCTCAGCGCCAACCCAATAGCGTCCTTGACTTCAATGTCGTCTTTGTACTCTTGCTTCAACAAGCTCTGGGCCGTGCCGTTGTTGGCGCCGATGCAGGTGGCTTTCCAGCCGGAATAGTTCCCTGATGGATCTGAACGATATAGTTGGAACTGGTAGTGAGGATCATAGCCAGCGTAGAGGAGCGATACACCAAAGGGTCGGAGACCTGCAGATGGCAAGATTTGGACTGAGAATCAGATAAACTTTTCTAAGAGGCACGCGATACGCACCTCCGAATTGCGTATATCCCTGTTTCATGTCGCACAGTCGCTGTGCCAATAGTTCGACCGGGATATCCTCATCGTAGGAGAGCAGGTGTTGTTGGGCAGCATTTCGTGCGTAGTTGACCACCGAGTTCGCGTCAGCAGTCAGACCTGCGAGACCGCCGATGACATTCCTGCCAAACTTGTATGAGCGACGCGGGGTCTCGATCTCGTCTCTGGATAACATGGACCACGCACGAACTCAAGAGAAAGATCTTCTCGCCGCTGCCCCCGTATCCACCCTCCTTCGTCGCAGACAGATCGAGAAGTTTACCCGTCACTTTCTTCTCGGCCGCGAGCACCACGCCGTCCTTGGCAAGCAGCCCGAGCACCGTCCCAGCGTGCGAGATGGCTTCCATCGCATATTCGACTGCACGATTCAAGTAGATGGGGTCGGTGACATTTCTGAGAGGCTAGATTTGCTGCAGCGTACCCTGGTACAGTTTGCCTAGAAGAAGAAGAACGGGTTTCATGCATCAGAGGATTGTGGTGCAGTGCGAGCAACGTTTTGCGCGAACCTTCTGGGGAGAAGATGGTGGTGCGGCTATCGTATCGTCTTGCCTATATAATGCTCTTCAATGAGTGGATTAAAGCTGTGAGCCATCGTGTCCACGAACCATGATGAAGAAGTGGTAGATGGATGAGTAGGAGTACGCGTCGCAAGCGCACACGCGTCGCTCGATCATTAGACTCGGACCAGCTGCCGAACAATTGATCATTGAATCAATGATTGAGTGATCGACAGAGCATCTGTCTAGAAGCTTACGCCGGCTATTTACTGTGTGCTTGTCACATTTTCTGGAGTGCAGTATCTCAAAGTCTGGTTTAATTGGAAGCTGTGTAGAGGCCGTCGGTCTGGAATTAGGTGATACGGTTACGAGACAATTATTGCCGCATAAGGTGGTTTAAAGATCCCAGACACTTCGTCCGTGTCATCCACGCTCATCCATAATCATAAAAATGGGATGGATAGCTGATAGACAAACTAGCGTTCAAAAGTTCCTTGAACGGGCTCACCTCAAGTCTCATCGACGCTGAAGAGGGCGGAGGAAGCATTTGGGGTCCCATAAACAATCTTGCACATCTGATCTTTCTCATTGCGAGTCGCGACATACGAGCGGACCCTTGTTTTATTCGTCACTTCGTTACAGGAGTGTAGACGTGTTTTATATGGCACTTGCTCAGAGGTGTCATGCTCGATGCTGATTTCGTGACAACGGGGGGCATGCTTAGCAAACGGCACTCATCAGAGACACAGAGGGCTCGAAGGTATTGAGTTTGTGGCCACAAGGAAGCGGAAAGCGTTGGCGTGTAGCTCCAGAACTAGTGCTTAGTGATCGATATCCTGCGTAGGTCGGATATAGCTCGTCTTTGATCTAGAAGGAAAAGGCAGCCAGGACCGCGTCGGCGAATGGGTGATTGATAAACTTGGACCCCAGTCCAGAATACGCTGAAGCTTGATGAATATCATGTTGCAGCAACTCGGAAAGTTGCACAGATGACAGAGGCAATATATTCATCTGATATTGGGCTTGGGTAAACCAGCTGACTGGCAACAGTCGGCAACATTGAAGATTGAGTTTCCAGTCCCCCCCACTGGCGATCAAGAGGGTGGACGAGAAGATGTAGAAATTGGGTAGATTGGATTGAAGCCCCAACGCGATGCATATTGCTGCGGACTTTAGCCGGCCCGGTGGCTGCCTTGCCTGGAGTACACTGCTTAGACTGTGTGATTGCAAGAAACTTATAGAAGACGGAAGAGTCGAGGAGCGTGGGAACTTATGACATACTGTACCGAACTTGCCACCAATCTATCACCTGTGTCTGTGAACCTAGTGAGATTGTTCAGCGCTGAGAAGCAACTCGGGACGAAGACTTGTTCTACAACCTTTTCAAGTTGTGAATACTGGTTTTCTTCGGAGACTGGTACGCTCAAACTCGTGGATCTTTCAGCTCTTGATCTGTGCTGCCATTAGCGGTGCCCTGCTTGACTCGTAGACCCTTCCTCTCTCGTCATGTCCTCTGGGCCGCTTGTCGGGCCGTCGTCTCTGAGGGACGTGGTTGCCCCGCAGTTCCATCAAAATAATTTCTCTTCAGAACCATACATTAAGACGGAGTTGGGCGTCAAATTGGATAAAGGTGCGTCATACGTCCCAGCACCGGGCTATATTGCTGACTGAGGTTTTCTGTCAGATGATCAAATCTGCAGACTCTCGCTCACACCAGCCGGATGCCCTCTGGGTCCCTTACACTGTCCCCTCCGACACACACTACCGTCCGTTTTGAACTTCCAGCCGGCCAAGCAGGCAACGACCCACTCGCGCGAGCCCCGTCTTACTACAGTTTGCAAGCATTGGCTTCGGGGACTGTGCAAGAAGGGCGATGCGTGCGAGTTCCTGCACGAATACAACCTCAGACGCATGCCGGAATGTTGGTGGTTCGCAAAGTACGGATACTGTTCTGCAGGTGACGAATGCTTGTATGCCCACCCGAAGGAGCGGCGGGTAGAGTGCCCAGATTATAACCGCGGCTTCTGTAAGCTGGGTGAGTGATTTCCTTGCGTAGTGGGTAGTGTCTTGTTATCCTGACTTGGATGCGTCCTAGGCCCCAACTGCCCTCGCAAACATGTGCGTCGCGTGGCTTGTCAGATGTACCTCACTGGGTTCTGTCCGTTGGGCCCAGAATGTCCTCGTGGCCAGTAAGCCTTGCGTCGTTCAACGTAATTCCAGGCCCCTCATCTAGTTTAGTCCGAAACCAGGGCTTCCACCACCGGAAGCATATCAAGCACCGAGTGCACCAACCCTCGAAGGGCCGCCTCCTCCCGGCTTCGGCGGCAAGTTCGGTGAACACGACCGTCAAGCAGGCGGCTCGTTCATGGGTGCAAATGGGCCCTTGAGGAGGAATCTAGATGAAGTGTTGTGCTTCAAGGTGCGCGTTTCTGTGTATCGATCCGCCTGCACAACCTCTGATCACTCGTAGTGCGGCGAGAAGGGCCACTATGCCAACCATTGTAGAAACAGAAATGTGCGTTTTCTTGGGACTCGTTCTATCGCTCTCTAACGCTCTACAGGTCCCGGGTAATCGGGGAGGAGTCGAAAGGTTCAAAAAGTTTGATGAATGAAGTTGATAAGCCATGTAATGTCGTGTCAGTAGACAATGTTATGTGGCTGTGCTTCTTCTACTTTGTCTAATACTTCAGCTACCACTGTGCCCTGTATATCAAATCGGCAAGCCATAAAGGCATTATACCCACTATGGACTCCTCAGTCGCATCGGGCTCCGACGATAGTCGGTCCGAATTATCGCGGCTGCGGCGCAAACTGACCATCGCCCAAGACGCCATCGAGACATCGCACAGCAAGCTCTTCGAAGTCGAGACGCAGGCGACGCGTCTGGCGCGGTCATTTGGCTTCGATACGACGTATGCCGCGCAGGCGTATATCGACCTGGCGGACGAGCCGACGCCGTACAGGGAGCTGGTTTCCACGGTCGACGCGTTGCAGACGCAGCTGGGTCAACTGCGGCGGGAGAACGAGGAGCTGCGGAGCCAGATTAGAGGCTTATCGGAGAAAGAGGGATTTGGTGCTGGGATGAGGGCCAGGTGCGGGGCTCGTACGCCTGCGGCAGATACGCACGCTTGCTCACACACACACCCAATGCAGTGCTGATCCTGAAGGCGGTCCGTCGACTTCAAGCCAGTTGCGCGCGCTCCAGACGCGTTTCTCAGAACTGCTTGCGGTGAAGCTCAAGAGCGAGGAGAAATACAAAACGGACTACCGCAAATTCGAGCGTCTTAAAGCATTTTCGTGCAGCGAGGAGATCCAGGAGCTCGAGGCGCAGCTGAAAGCCCAGCGGGGCGACTTATCTGATCTCGAGATTCGCGAGCGGAGGGCGTATATTGTGCGGCTGACGACGCAGAAGATGAAGGAGCTGGATACTCGTGAGTCTTGCAGTTGCCTCTAAGCTGGACCGGAGACTTATGGGATGGCCAGAAGCAAGGGCGCAAGACAAAGAGAACGTAGCTGCCAAAGCCTCGGAAAGACGGAGTACTAGACGTTCTGGTACTCCATCGTCGCAGACGAATAGCACCAAGAGCGGGAATCGCAACGTCGCGGCAGCAGCCTTCGCGCTTCAGCCTATAAAACCAAAGTATGCGTTATTCAGCCGACTCCTCTTGTTGAATATCAGGCTAACATCGATACAGTATGGGCAAAGTTCTGATTCCGAGTTCTTCAGAGTTGGAAGTGGGGATTCTGGAGCGGACCGACACGCGGATGCCTGCCCTCCAGATCACTGCGAAGGATGCCGTGAACGATTCTTCCGAGACCGAGCCCGACACACCTGTTGGATCTCAGCAGTTACCAGTGGCAGAAATAAACTGCGTGGATTCCAAGAGTGAGCGCATGGATTGTCTTTCTGGCCTTTGATTGACATGTACAAGTTATCGCGAATCCAGTTCCGGCCTCTAAACCCAAATCGCGAACAGTCAGTGCCGCCGATGCTCCACAAACTCATCCCCAACGCAATAATGCAGTTGCTGATGAGGACCCGGAGGAGGCACCGCCGAGGAAAGTGAGGCGCGTGTCAGCACGTGAAGCTGGTGCCTCCCCCTCAACAGCGTTGTACGTTGAAAGCGGCAATACACCGCCACGATCCAAACCGATTTCCACTCCCATTCCTGACAAGGGGAAGGGCAAAGGCGCTGATCTGCCCGCGTCGAGCTCGAAGACTGCAACAATCAACAGCAAATATGCTATTGACCCAGCCAAGAACGACGGCAAGGATTATCAGTACGATGAAGTAGTCCGTGGCCGAGCCGAGCGGCGCAAACTGCACGGGGGTGATTGTGAATGTTGCCGCGACGTGAGTCTGATGTTCGATTGCACAAGTCGAGACGACACTATTGAACAATGTTCCGGGTAGTATTACGAAGCCGTTGGACCGCTGCCGAATCGTCTGCAGCCTCCATTATGGCGCTCACCTCCCAAGACACCGAGTCTCCCCTTGTCTCGCGCCGAAGCCGTTGCGTCACACAAGCAGTCTGTGTCACGGCATCGACAGAAGTGGACGCCGGCCAAAACGCCGCCTGACTATTGGATTATCGGCTTTCCCGATACACAAGAGGTGCAGCAGATTAACGAGAAGGCGAAAGAGATGCATGCAGAGAAGCTCCAGCGTATTGGACATGAGGCCGCTCGAGGAGTGGGGCGATACAAGAAGCGATGAGTAGTCAGTCACCCGGCCAATACACTCGCTACTTGTGTCTCCATCTCTGACCCGCCCGACATCTCGCACGGGCATTCCTTGAGCGTGATTTGGAGTTGAAACGAATGTAGTTTCATCTATTCCATTCAATAACACGCCAATCATCGAATCGACGGCGAGAAGAAGCACGGGGGCAGTCATTCGGCTCCGAGCATCAAGCAGTTTCGAGGGGAGAAGCGCACACTTGATGCTCTCCCTCTGATTTAGTCCCGCTTGTGTGTGAGTTGGCATATACGCAGATGCGTATGCACGGCCGCGGTATAGTATAAATGCAGAGCAGTCCTTGTGAAGCACTCCAGATTTCTTCCCAGCTACCTAGATCTACTTCCCTCAAATGCGTTTCGCTGTCCTCACCGCTGTTGTTGCACTTTTTGCCACCGCCGTCGCGGGCACGAGCATCCAGAACAGAGGCGAGCGCTGCTACCCGTCCTACTGTGTGCGTCGTCAACTCTCTATCTCTCTCGCTCGCATGCAGACACGTGTCCTGATTGCTTGAGTCTAGAACTGCAACGAGAGCAGCTGCGGGTGAGACTCTATGAAGCGCTCAGCTGGCTTCGCATACTGACCTCAGCGCTCCCTGTGCCAACAGAAACAGCCCCGCCTGCTGCGCCAACGGAAGCTGCCCCTGCTAGAGCCTTTTCGTAGGATCGAGTCACTTGTAGCGATCGAATAAGCTCATATTACACAACCTGGTTTCAGAAAGAGTAGAAAAAGAACGCTTCACCGCGATGTTTGAAGTCACGTGGCCGTGTTCAGGATAAGATCAGATTGTTGGAAAACCTGATGAGATACAAATACACTCGGTGGTGCAGCTCTGTCCAAAGCCACGGACATTCTATGACAAGGTCACAATAGTCGATGCGTCCGAGGCCAAAGCACGTAGGTAGATATACAAAAAGCGATCAAAGCAGCTGCTTGTCTATCGTGGCCTTGAACTCGAGCGCATCCTGCTCTTTAGGGAACCGGAACATGTAGGACTTGGCTTCCGACTTTTCGTCGCGCCCGATCACGGTCAACGAGCTTTTGGCGAGAGACATGTTGATGCCCGCGTAAACATGGAAGTTCTGCGGACAAAGCGTGTCGGTCAGGGATTATGATGCAGCACATAGCACTGAAAACCCACGATTTGGATTCGGCCCGTTTGTGTATTCCTCAGTAGCAGTCTGCACGAGGAGGTCGTTTTATGCTTCTTGAGCCGCAGGAAACCTGGGACCGATCTCAGCCTGGTGGTACGCAGTCAAAGTCAGTCAGAGCAGACGCACCGACGCTGTAGATCTGCCACGACATTTGTGGTGCGTCTTTGTCCTTCTTCCTCAACTCGTAAACTTTGACGCGGGAGGAGGCAACCGTGTCTTCGTCCTCCTCGCCCTCACCCTCAACATCATGCTGCGACATCCCGGTTTCGGTGCTGACAGTCGATTCCTGGCTTGTGCCCTCGGCCTCCGGAGGTGCACTTCCACTGGCTGCTTCAGTGTTACTCTCCTCGGTCTTAGCTTCCTCGGATTTCATCGGAGCCGCCGCTCCGAAGCCGAACCCAAACCCTACAGCGCCCTTCCCAATGGGAGGTGTGTCGCCTGCGATGCTGAACATACTGCTGGGGGGCTTGCCACCAAAAACGGAGGCCGGGTGCTTTTCGTCGGACGACGAAGCAGGCGCGGCGAAGGCTGATGCCGGAGACGGCCCACCGAGGCTGAAAAACGACGGCTTGGACGAACCCGCGCCGCCGAACACGGACGGTTTTGCCGGGGCTGGGAACACCGATTTGGGTGTGCTGCCCTCGTCGTCGAGCTTGAAGGATGAACTGGGTGTAGGCAAGGTAGAGCTGCTCTTAGCGTCAGGTTTGCCGAAGGGAGCGAATGTGGCGGGAGGAGTGACCATCCCGGAGGGCGTGCTTTGCGGTGTGGATGTTGGCGTGGCAGCAGGCTTTCCGAACCCGCCGAACCCAGCAAACGACGCTGGGGCCGCCGGCATGGATGTGGGCGGCGGTGACGGAAGCGTCGGTGGTGCCGCGCCGTTCTGCTTCTTCGACGATGACGCCGCCGCCGACGAATCCACAACGGTCTCTTCTTTCCCCACACCGCTCTCATTGTCAAAATCTTTCTGTATCCCCGCCCGCAGCGAGACGTACTTCTCCAACACGGGGCCCAGGTCCAGGAACGGGTTCGTGTCCATGGCCTGCCTGATGTGCGCGACAACCGACACGTTCAGCCCGCGCAGGTACGTGTAGTACCGCACTGCCGCCTCATTCGAGCCTGCGGGCTTCGGGCTCTCAACCGGGCTCGTTGGTGCCCCGGCGCCACTGCCGCTGCCACCGACGATCGACGCGAAGGCCTTCGCAGCATTCGAAGCCTTGTCCGAAACTTTCGGGGCTGCACTGCCGAAGCTGAACGCGGAAGATGGCGGGAGGGGCGTAGGGGTGGGAGATCCGGGAACAACGAACGGCTGGCTCGATGCTGGTTTGGTGAACGAGGGAGAGGCCGAGGGAGGCGTGAAGGAAAAAGGCTTCGCGCTGCCGCCGCTCGGCGCACCGAACCCAGCGAACCCAGCGAATCTCGGAGGGGCCGAGGAACCGTCGGTCTGAGTGATGGGTTGAGTTTCGAGCGCGATCAAAATGAGAGAACGCACGCACATCTGATTTCGCGACGTCTGCCGGAGTGAAGGGCGAAGCAGGACTTGCTGTCGATCGCCTAGGAATACCTTTTATCCTGCACGGCGCGTCAACACATAGTGACTGGGCTCGAAATGTGTCTGACTGACTGTCTTGTGGCTAACACAGAATCATTCGCTTTGCGAAACCCCTCCGTGCCAGATGGTTCCTACAAATGTTCGCGTCGTTCCTGCAGCTCGTGACGACTGGCGCACCTGGACTTCCTCCTCCTCGGCTCCATCATCCTTCGAGATTTGCTTTTCTGCACCGCGTTTCATGGTGCAGGTTTCTGGTAGAGTGACAGTGACGACTCATCACGGTCACGTTACGCGTTTGAAACAATTTTGTTCTTGTTACTGGACCCGTACATATACATGATTTCAATTGTTGTTCATATGAACTGCACAAAAAGGCCATACAGTAGGAAAGCATTGAAAGAGGAGATTCGTTTAAATGACGTCACCTCAAGACTTTACGATTGCAGGAAATCTGCCTCGCTCCAACCATAGCTGCGCTTTAACCGCTTGGCGAATGTACGCAACATTACAGGGTGGATTGTGGTGTCGGGGTGAGCTGTATGTCAGTCAGCAGGCAACGAGAATCTCATGTGCTAGATAACACACGCTTGTGGAAAGTGATGGACTGGAAGAAGGATAAGGCAATGTTTACGAAGCGGAACGGGAGGACTCACGACATCCTTTGGGTCAGGCGGATCGAAGCGGACACTGGATCCAGCTGTGCTAGGATCGTAGGTGAAACCCATCTCTTGCATAAGCTGCATCAAGTCAGGAATGAATAGATCAAGTCTACAACACATCGCGCCTTGACGAATGCGTCCCATTTCATGGACGCCATCCCCCGCGTCTCGTCCTCCGATGTACGGAGCAGCTGATGCATGCTCATCGTCGTTCTCTTCGTCAGACGAGAGAACCAGTTGCTGCGTTTCTTTGGCTCAGGCTTATCCCGAGACCGAGCGAACCCAAACTTGGACAGGAAACCCTTCTTCTGCTTCTCGGGGACAGCCTCGGAGCGAGACTTGACTTTGTTCTTCTGATCCAGTAGATTCTCCGTCTTCAAGTAAGCCCGAGCAGATTGTGCGGTCGCGGTCTCCGTCGGCATAGCCAACGACACGCTTGAGATCTGGGCGGCCGCTGCCAGATTGGCCACGGGGGACTTGGGCGCGGTAGCCTTCTTGGGTGAGGCTGGGGAAGTCGGCGGGACGCGCGAAGTTGGGGAGGACATAACGGGTGAAGCGACCTCCTCCTCGCTGTCTGCGTCTGCGTCCACAGCCTCTGCAGTGGCCACCGCGGCCTTCTTCTTCTTCTTCTTGGGTTTTTTTTCTTCTTCTTCGGAGAGGAGGCAGGTGCGTCATCTTCATCCTCAACCTCCTCAACAGTGGCTTTCTTGCTGGGAGGAGCTTGAGGTTTTGCTGCGGGAAATGGATTCAATCGCGACAGGAAGCCAATCTGAAGATACATACCAGGATCCTCCTTCTGGTAAACAGGAGCTTTGGTTTTGGTTTTCTTGCCAAAGAATCCGGACTTTGCCCCGCGTGGCGCAGGCGTTCCCGATTTGGGCTTCAACTTGGGACTGGTGCTGAAAACACGTCCTGGGGCAGATGAATTGAGTAAAAATCAGAGGATGAATGTAAGCATAAACACCTTTGAGCGACCCTAATAACTTCAAAAAGGCATTGCCTTTGCCAATATCATCTTCATCCTTATTGAATGGGTCCGTGTCCCCATCGTTACCGAATAGATCGGCTTCGTGTGCAGCATCCATGGCCTCGCGCAAGAGGTCGCGGATCTCATCTTCTTGGTCCTCGTCGTATTCGCTCTCCGTCGCATCAGAGCCGTCGTCGGCGTCGTCGTCGTGGTCGGACACTACCACTGCGTCATCATCTTCGTCCGATGAGTTGGAGACAGTTTGCAAGGCTGGCATCGAGTCGTCACTGTCTTGCCCGTCAGTGATCCGGAGTATCTTGGCCTTCTTCTTGCGGGTAACCGCGGCACCAAGTGGACCGTCGTCTTCGTCATCGTCGTCTTGAGTGGCGGCTGCATTGAACTTGACTATTGCTTTGGCCGAGGCGTGCCATTGAGGAGCTCGAGCCAAAGCATCTTGCACTTGCCATAGAGAATCAATATCCTTGCCGGCGACTTGCTTGTGAACTTGATTGATGGCCAGCCACATGCTTTCCAAGACAGTCTGCTTCTTCGCCTTGACAAGGGGGTAGATGATCTCCTTCCAGTTGGCAAGCTGGCTCGGATCGAACGCTTCCTCGGACAAGGCCGTCGCATCAAGCCACTCCTGAAAGATTCGGGGCTTTGCAGCAAGCTCGGGCTTATTCCTCCACACAGAAAACTCTTCGGGCACGATCAAGGCAGCATCCAACATGGCCTGTAGCTCAACACACACCTAAGATGAGACATCAGTGACCGGCGTCGCGTGGCGTTACGGAATATGGCATTACCGAGAGATCGCCAACAGCATCCCAAAGCCCTTGGGGAAAACGTTTCGCTTCCTTGGGAGACTCGTCGACTGCATCACGCAGGATCTGATACAGGACAGTCATCGGATAAGGCGCTTTCGGGAAAGCGATTTCCACAATGATTGAATCCAAGAATGACTTCCCAGCAGCTTTGAGCGCGTCCCAGTCAAATTGGATCACCCCATCCGTTTTTGGCCTGAAATATTTTGCGTAGTGGGCTGGGATGCAACAGGAAATGAGTTGCGTAGACGCAGTTCAGGGGTACATCCTCTTACGAGTCGTAGAAGCCATCAGAGCGAACTTTTCTTGCATCATTTGTACCAGATCGCACACAAAGTGGTACAGGAAAAGATACTTTGCCCGCAATGTTTCGTTGTCCCGTAACAAAGACTTGATGTTGGCATCCGTGAGCCCGTCGTCTTCGAGATCGTGTAGAGTATCCGCGATGATTCGCCAGGCAGATGCAAGCATGTAGGCATTGTGGATACTGAGAATAGGATATCAGTCTTTGCATCTTCAGTAGAAGAGGTTGAGCATGAACATTGAACGCACCGGGTGGCGACGACCTCGGCCATGGCAGTAGCACTCTTCAGAGGCTGCTGTTTCTTGGGATCCTTGGTGTGAACGCGATTGTCCCATTCCGATTCAATGATCGCGACAAACAGCGCAGGATCATGCAAGTTAGCGATGTCATCGAGGAAAGCTATACTCACGATATATGTATAAGCTGATAAGGGGATGAGAGAGGGGAACGCACCGCTGCACTGGGAGTCTGCAACCTGCATACAAGTCTCGATGCGGAAGGGCGACAACACAGCCGACGCTGACTGTTTGTCGACAAGGTCCTCTAAGCGGTGAGATCCAGAGCCACTCTAACCTCACGATCGGTAGAGAGCATCTTACCAGCCAGAAGATCGAGCTTCTCGCATCCGAGGAGCTTGGTCACCACCGCCAGTTCACCCGTGCCGCGAGCACCGTGTTTGCCATTGCGAAGGACCAGTGCACGAGCGGTTGTCGGCTTCTCACCGTTCTCGTTGCGTTTGGTCGAAGATCGCTTGGACGCAATGCCCTTGGGACCACTGGAGGATAAGCCCTTCGGTCCAGTGGAGATGAGAGCGTTAGAGGTCGCGGCAGGTGTCGCCTTCGCCTTGGGGGGCATTTGTTTTGCGACAAGATTGCAGTTTCAGCAGTTTCTCACGATGATCAGCTCTTGCAGCATCATCAAGTGTCTCACACGCAATGCTCTACTTATCACGAACAAACTGGCCTCTTGGCCCTATGCTTTTGCATTCAAGGCTGGGACGGAAATCGAGATCCTTTCATACTCAACCGGGTGGCATCCCGGACCAGTTTCCGTCATGCCTGATCATCAAACATAAGCCTGTCGCCATGAACGATCTGGACGCGTTGTTCGGATATCTACCATCAGCCCAGTACACATGGCTGTGCCTCGACAAGGATTTATGTGTCGGCTGGTTGGCGTGCGTCTATCTTCTTGGGCAGCTGTATCATCTCCACCCCGGCGGTCGGGGTCGTTTCTTTCGTTTCCTTCGTTCGGTCTCTTTTCCGTTCTTCCGTTCTTCTTTGCCTCTTCGTTTTTAATCTTATTCGCTGCGCTCGATGGCGTCGGCGTTCAATCTCACTCGTAAATTCCCGCACCCCGTGCGAACTTCGATCACTGACCTCATTCCTCGCAGTGGACGATTGTATGTTGCCCGTGCCATTCCGAGAGTGTTCGGCTCGCTTTGAACTGGGGCAGGCTCTCCTTTAATTTCGTATGGACCCAGCGGGGCTTGGCGGGACGCGTCCTCGTGCGTCGCCTTCTTCCCAATTCCAAGCAAGACGGGGACTAACATGCCCTCATAGCAACGATACTGCTAGTCTAGTATGCAAGTTTCAAGCTGGACAAGATCTCTGAAAACTCACGCGACTCTGAACTAGGGGTATTTCGGCAATACTTACCACTCAACCAACACCACCGGTGCTACGGTCACGATCAATTTCAACGGTGCTCAGTGTTGCCTATAAGCTGTCTGCGCGATTGACCAAGGTCCAGGCACGGGGATCGAGATTTATGGTGCTCATCGACCCGAGTATGGATCATATAGTATGACGATGGATGGGCAGTCTATGGGTGAAACCAGTGCAGCGAGCAGCGTGGTCCAGGCGCAGCAACTGCTGGGATCTGCGACAGAGCTAGCGAACGGACCGCACACCGCGGTGATCACGAGCAACGGTTCGGGGATGGATATCGACTGGGTGAACCTATTGACTCAGGTTGGCGTTGTTGGGTCAGTGGAATCATTCACCGGGGCTTATTGAACTGAACGCCCCGTCAAGCTCAACGATGACAACGTCACTGGTCGATGATGCGGATCCTCGTGTCAACTATGCTGGGAAATGGCAGACGAACAATCTGAATACATACATGAACAATACCCTGCAGTGAGATCCTTTGTCCTGTCCGTCAGACTGCTTCTCAGACCCTGCCGCAGCTACAGCTCCACTGCTGGCTCTGCTGCTTCGCTTTCGTTTTCGGGGAATGCTGTGGCTATCTATGGGACTGTTTCACCTGACCACGCCAACATTCAAGTGTCAATCGACGGTCAGAGTCAAATGGTGAACACTCAAGCTTCATCCATTTCGGCACTGCACCCGCAGACGTTACTGGTGAGTGTCATAGGCAGACCCATGTGCTGCTGACCGGATTTTCGCTGCAGTACTACTCGAACGGCCTGGATTCATCACAGCACACACTGATCATCACCAATCCAGGCCAGCAATCCGGGACTGGTCCGTTCATTGATCTGGATGCCGTTGCGGTCTATTCGGCCACAGCTCCGCCGACCGCCAGTGGCGCTGCACCGAATGCTCTGAATGACAGGTTAGGCTCCCACAAGTTGTGAAACTACCGCCCTTTTGACCGTCGTCCAGTGCAAACCGACATGGATCGAAGATAGGCGCGCTCTCAAGAACGGCTTTCGTTGGCATACTTGCGGGCATCCTATCGCTAGTTCTATTGGCCATTGCAGGAGTGTTTCTGTTCTTTTTCTTGCGGCGCAGACGAGCAAGCCAATACAAATCTGAGGATGTCGACCCCACTACACCGACCTGTGCAGAACTGCCTCTGCAGGGACCGAACGCGCGTTTCACGATGGTCTCTCCTACACAGCCTCTGCCGACATTCTCGGGGATTCCTCAACGACAGTCCAGTCATTCTATAGCGCCAAGCTACTACGCGTTTGGCAACGAGTCGCGCTCATCATTCGCCTCGACGACACCTTTGGCACCCACATTGGGGATGCCAAAGCCACCCAATCGCAATCAGCCCAACTTGATGGTCAGTCGGACTTAAACGGTGATTCGCCCGAGACTGCCGTTTTCTCATCCTTCATGCACAGGTCCCCTCTAATCTAGTGTCGCAGCGTCTGAACCCACCTGCCTTTTAATTTGTACATAGGCCAGTCGAGGTTAGGATCGAGAGCGGTCGTTTTTGCTCTAGTACATGCCAATACAACAGTTCACAACATTCCTGATTCAGATGAAAGTTGTCCATCTACTCATAGATCACTAGCGACCCAAGAGAGTGGATGAGAATTATCATGACAACCCCCATCAGTCTCACGTCGAAAACACGTGATGTCGACCATTGAAGGCCGGTGCCGTTGATATACTGCCTTTCCCAGTTACCGTGACCCAGTGTCCTCCTCTTTCCTCCCTCCCCCCCACATTCCCCCCGGGCTCGAGCTGTGCTCTTTTTTTACACACTTTCCTTCATCACTGGTCTTTCCACCCTCTTGTCCACAAGTCCCTTTCTCTCTGCCATCTAGCCGGATCCTTCTTGAGCAGCGCTCGTTATCATCTTCCTCGCATCTGAAGAGTAGTTCATCGCAATGGGAAACCTCATCTGGCACGAATACGCTCGCTACGTTAGCATTACTGCCACCGCCTGTGCGTATTGAGTCCGACTTTTCTCCGCATCTCCTCATCTTGGCGCAGATGGAATTTGGGCGAGCTTCTTCGCTCTTTTCTATCGCAAGTTCTTCTGGGACTTCGTCCACGGCACTTTGAGAGATCCCGGAGGATTCCAGTACGCATCCGCATTGCCTTCTCTTCCGGAGTACTCATGACACGTATCTCAGGCCGGCAAAGAGTGATGCCATCTTCATCTCACTCATCGTCAAGGCTCCTGTCATCCCCATTCTGAGTGCCATCGTTGGTCTCATGATTCTGGCTATTGAGAATCCGATTCCTCCCCTGAGAAACTCGGCCATTCAACGCAGTTTCCCATTGAAGATCGTCTTGCTTTTGTTCCAGGCTGTCCTTGCGGTTTTGTTCTATCAAGTGAGTAACCATCAATTCGGTTCCCTCAGTTGTTCATCAGTCCTCCCAGGGCACGAACTGCGCGCTCTGGTCACTTATCGCGATCCTCTGTTACACGCGTGCGGTCGCACTCGGGGAAATAATGCAGGAGGCAAAGACGAACAGAGGAGGGCAAGGTGGTCGGGCGTGATCCCGGCATCCTTAAATTTCCCTGGCACAGAAGGGAGAAAGTCCAGCATTCAACCGGACTGCGTCCGTTTTCTTTTTCTAAATCTACACACCTACCCGGTTTCCGACTTCCTGACACTTTCCTGTACCCCGCTTCTTGTACTTCTTACACTTGCTGCTAGCATGATTGGTGTTCGTCAGCATTTGCACAAGGATTTCTTCGTTCACTCACCTGCTTGCTTCCTAATCCTCCTTACCCTTCGGTGTCAACACGGTGTGATTCGAGATTGAGAAGCATGACCATGACATTCATCTGAATTTCGTTTCTTGCCATTCACCATGACCTCTACTCCCGCCGAAATCTTCAACAAGCTCAGTTCTCAGTTCGAGCTAGCCAAATCAGCGGGCGATCTCCTGTTTTTCGCATCCACGATTGAAAAGCATGAGGATTCGGGGATCGAGGTCACTTGTCGCCTCCCATGCTTCGATCTATGTACTCATTGCCATGTAGTACGAACTGAGAGTATGCCCCGCTCTTCAAAAGAAGCCTCAGTCTCCCGCTACCGAACTCCCCGACACGCTGCCCCATGATAAACCGGATCCCTTCCAGAGCCCCTACAACCCCAATTTGTTCCTGGGTGAGCTGCAAGATGCCGACAGTGGTGAACGCTACACAGTCTTGGTTCGCCTACTCGATCTCTCCGGATGCGCGGCGTCCCTCATTATCTGCTGTTAGCTCAACAAGTACTCTGTCGTCCCGCGACACTTCTTGCTCGTGACCAAGGGTAGGGGTCCCGACTTCTGCCTGTTATTGGGCTCAGATCTTTCGACATCGTACAGAGTTCCAACCGCAAACCTCACCGCTAAGCCCGCCAGATCTCGTTCAAACCTATCTTCTCCTCGCCGCCGCACGCAAAAAACACCAGACCTTCATCGCGTTCTACAATTGTAAGCACACGGTGCAGTCACGTTGTCTGCTTCGATGGATAACATCTTTCTTTATAATGCAGGTGGTGACCTGTCGGGCGCATCGCAAGCACACAAGCACATACAGTTTTTGCCGTTAGACGATGATTCGGAAGACGGTCCTCCCATCGAAGTCAAGGCGCGAGACGTCAAGCTCGAATCTCGAGGTGCGCATACAGTCCTCGCCGCGGCCATCATCTCTCCAGATCCTCACCGCGACCAGTGACCCCGTTCGCGCTGGACCTGTCGTACGCGAACCACGTGTACCGCTTCCCTGAGCGGTTCCACTCGCTCAAGCCCGAGCAGATGGAGCCGATCCTTGCGAACGCGTTCTTCGGGCTCCTGGACCTCGTCATCTCGACCATCCGGCACGACCCGACGTACCCCGCGGGGAAGCTCTCGTACAACGTGGTGCTCACGCTCGAGCACATGCACCTCGTGCCGCGCCGCCACGAGGACTACGTGCTCTCCGCGAGCGGCGACGCGCTGAGTGTGAATGCGCTGGCGTTTGCGGGTATGATGCTCGTCAAGAGCGAGGCCGAGCTTGAGGCTGTTAGAGCGGAGGGCATCTCGAAGATCCTTCGAGGTGTGGGGCTGGAGAGTGTGCATGAGAAACAGGTGCTGGGCTCCTCCGCGGAGGAGGATTAGACGCGTCGAGAATTGTAACTGTACCTAGAGAGATGAAACAAACATCTTATCTTATCTGAATGATTGATTGATGGGATCGAGCAACATTCGCTGAATCCATCTGAGCTGCTTTTGGTCTTTCATCTCTACCATTTCAGCGCGCTCTGGCCAGTGCTGGGGGGATAGACACCCATCTCTGCCATTTGTCTTCCACTTTATCTAATCTCGGCTGGGCGTGATCTCGAAGACCTGGTTTCGTCATTGCTCGCTTAGAGCGCTTTCCAGTTGATGCCTGACGTCGACTCTTGATCTGCCCCACTTTCAGCATGCTGCCGCGTACCTGGCTGTTCTCACCAGACCCCAGAGGCCCTCCAGAGTGACTCCGTGGCGCCAGATGTGACGTATGCAGCTAGCTAACTCTAGGCCCGCTTAAGCATGCACGTATAACTGCATCATTCCGGCCGCTTAGGCTGCGTTAATCTAAACTCCACCTCGACCCTGCTCCTCCCCCTCCTCTTCCTCCTCGGCGCCGTTCTCCGCATGTCTCAGGTAACGCAGTCCTCGGTGAACAGCAGCAACAGCACACAGACCTTCCTCACTTCGCTCGTGGTCAATGGCACCCTGCTCGCGGTCGAAGTCATCGCGTTTGTGATCCTGAAGAGTCGGCTGGGGAGGATATACAGCCCGCGCACGTACCTCCCGCCCCCAGCGTAGGTCGTCGACTGGTGTGCACGTGCTGAGGTGCTCATGGTGTATGCAGGAAGCGTGCGCAAGCGCTGCCGCCGGGGTGGTGGAGATGGGTTCCAGCGTTGCTGGTACAGGATCCACAAGAGATTGTATGTATTCGCGTTTTCTGGGACACTTCAGGCGTCTCTCATCTTGCTTCTAGATCCAAAAAAATGGCTTAGACGCGTGCGTTTGCGCGCCGTTGCTCTGCGTTGCTACGGGACTGATGCTTTTCAGATATATGCTTTTGCGATATTTACGACTCTTAATCATCATTTTCTCTGCGTTCACCATCTTTATCTCTGCGGTGATCATCCCAGTGGACACTGTGGGCATGCCGAACTCGACTGGCAAAGACAGGATCAACAGGATAACGTGGTCGAAGTGCGTCTGCTCTGTCCTCGAGGACTTATGGCTATAAACGAGCTCTGCGTATAGCATCGGAAATAATCAGCAAGACCAGAAGCGGTTCGCTGCACACATTATCATGGCGTACCTGCAGACCTGTCAGTTCTCGGTATGACATCGGAACTGTTGGAAACTGACCTGCGGGACAGTCTTCGTTATATTCATGATTCGGCGCGAGATGCTGCATTTCCTGGACATGCGCCACCGTTTCCTGATCAGCAACTCCCACTCCCGACTCGCGCAAGCGAAGACGGTGCTGATCACGAGCGTCCCGGACGAGCTCGCAAACGAACACGACCTACGACTGTTCGCGTCGTTCGTGCCCGGGGGGATCGACCGCGTGTGGATGTACCGCGACACGAAGGCGCTGAACGAGCTGTTCAAGCAGCGGCAGGCGGCGTGCAGCAAGCTCGAGACCGCCGCGTCCGGCGTGCTCAAGCACGCGACGGACGCGTGGCGCCTCAAGGAGGCGACTCACCAGAAGACGCGGAAGCACAAGAGCGACGAGGAGAAGGGTGCTATGCCACTGGAGCTCGAGTTGCCGGACGGGCCGACGCCCGAGCTGCTTCAGGAGCTCGTCCCGGCGAAGAAGCTGCCGACCCATCGCACGGGATTCCTCGGCCTGTTCGGGGAGAAGGTCGACACGATCCCGTGGTGCACCGAGGAGATCGCGCGGCTGAATCGGGAACTGGAAGACGGCCGGCGGGAGCAGGTGCAGGGCAAGTTCCTCGGGAGCGTGTTCATTCGGTGCAATCTGCAGCTCGGAGCACATGTGCTGGCGCAGTGCGTAAGCTATCACAAGGTGCGTGTGTGTCTGTCCTTGCGGACGCGCTGCTTGACGCCATTTCTCAGCCGCTGTCGATGAAGAACAAATGGATGGAAGCCAATCCAAAGGATATCGTTTGGGAAAAGTGAGGAGTTTGTGAGCTCGTGATCCCTCGTGTCTGACCTTCCGACCAGCCTCGATGACGGCTCTCTCGAGGTGTCCTGGCGATTCGCGACGTCTTGGCTTGCGACTATCGCTCTGATCGTGGCTTGGATTTTCCCCGTGACTTTCATTGGAACCCTCTCTCAAATCAGCACACTCTGCAGTCATGTCCCGTGGGTGTTTTCTTCCGACTGTACTGGGATGTTACTGACGTCGGCATGTTAGCTGGCTGAACTGGATATGCTTAGGTGTGTTCAGTGTAGATACGTGCGACCCGGCTGTCTGACACTGGCTCAGCTCCACACCCTATTCCCGGAATCATCCAGGGCATCATCCCGCCGCTGTTGCTCGCCATCTTCTTTGCTGTTCTGCCGCTGATCCTACGAGGTTTGCCGGTTTCCGCTCTTGGTTAGATGAAGGGTTAACGAAGCACCCACCAGGTCTGGCGTGGTATGAATGCATCCCGCGGTATTCGCTCATGTCGGTCAGCGTGTACCACCGATACTACCTGTTCCTGCTCTTGTATGTCGTCCCATCCTCGTATTGGCTGAATTGCTGACTGCAGCCCTCAGCCACGGTTTCCTGATCATCACCATCTCGTCCAATCTATCGAATAGTGGGTCTGATTATGATAGCATTTCTCCATCTTGAGGCTCAACATCACCTGCAGTCATCAACAATCTCGTCAACAATCCAAGCACTGCCGTGCAGAACATGGCCAAACAGCTGCCCGGGGTTTCTGTATTCTTCCTCACTTTGATGGGTGTGTCGCAGGGCTCATGAGCCCACCGCTTCGATGCCCGTTTCTGACGTAGATCCACAGTGACACAGGGTCTGGCTGGAGCCGGCGCAGCCCTCGCGCAACTGTTCCCTCTGCTCTTCCACTTCATCCGGAAGTGGCTCACAGGCCGGACTCCTAGACAAGCGTTCACGGTACGTTTTGTGGTTATACGTTGAATCGGGGTATTGAATGGGTATAGGTGACCTTTCTAATGCCAGCGGTAAGCTAGGCCCGCTGCTTTGTGAATTGATCATTGACGGGTATCACCGCAGGCCGACTTTGGCTTGATCTTGCCTACGATCTCGTTGTTGGCTACAATTGGTGTGTAATCTAGTTGTTATCCTGGTCGAATCGACTGATGGGCGATCAGGTTTCTCCTACAGCATGCTGAATCCCATGATCAACCTATTTGCTCTATTGAGTGCGTAAAACAACCCGAGTCGTTTGCTACCTGATACTTATTCGTTTCCAGGCTTTGTGATGTTCTTCATTGCCTACAAGTTCCGTGAGTATGAGTTTTCTGACCGTAGATGGCTGCTCATTTCCCCGTCTAGTGTTGACACAAGTCTTTGACCAGGTCTGTTGTTTGACGGTGAAGCAGCGGTGGCTCAGAGCTGACCTGGTTTTTTAGCCGGACGAGAGTGAGACAGGCGGGATGTACTTCCCGATGTGTATGTCCAACTTGTTCGTGGGGCTGTACATCGAGCAGATCTGTCTCGCGTGCCTGTTCTTCCTCAAGGCGTCGATATCGCCCCAGACTGCAGTGGTTGAGGCCGTGATGATGCTCATCCTCGTCGGCTTGACTGCGGCGGCCCATATCATGATCAACACGAGCTTTGGCCGTAAGAGGATCCCGTTGTTTGTGTGTGGGCAAGTCGGACTGACGTGTTTCCAGCGATGACCGAGTTCTTGCCCATGTCGTTGGCCACAAAGAAGATGGCCAAACGATACGAAAAGCACCAGCAAAAGCAGGGGGACACTACTGCGTTGGATCACGAAGAGGATATGTTCCAGAGAAATGGTGCAGTAGACCCAAGGCCATCTCCCAGGAGTGCCATTGCTCATCATAGCCGACAGCTCTCCGCAGTGTCCGACGCAGAATCCAGCGTCTGCCGAAGCAACTGGACAGCACGCTCGTCACACTGCGAGCGCGAGTCAAAGAAGAGGGCGAGTACCTCGCCAGCCCCAGTAGCAAGCGGAAGCACAAGTTCTCGGAAGACACGCCCCGCGAGAGCTTCGATCCGTCATCAACGGACTCGCCGTCGACCTCACACGATCCCGCGTCACCGCCGCCCACGACGGAGGGCGAGGGCCAGAAGCAAGCAGAGAAGCAGGTCATAGCCGACCTGCCAGAGGGCGACGCGCCCGAGCTGTACCGCCCCAAATCCCCCGCGCCGTCGCACACCTCCGAGCGGCCGCGCGCGTCACGTTCACGGACGCGGACGCAGTCGAAGACCACGCGCCCGGGGCGGCCGTCGATCGACAGCCGGGACCTTTCGGACGAGGACGTGTCGACGGACGACGAGGAGGACACGGACGAGCACGCGTTCGACCACCCGTCGACGTATATGCCCCAGCCGACGGTCTGGCTGCCCAAGGACAGGCTCGGGATCAGCGAGCTGCTCATCGGCGAGATGCGCGCGGCGGGCGTCGACGCGAGTGATCTGGGCGCGAGCATGGACGCGCGCGGCGTCGTCGAGGTCACGCGGAATCCGCCTGACGAGGTCTGGGAAGGCGGGAATGATGAATGAGGACCTTTTACGATCTTTAGTCATGATGTACAGTAGATACCCTGGCAGGCGGTCGTGCATGCCGTGATGGCGGCACCGATCTGTCCTCGAATACGATGTAGAATAAGGAAGGCGCTCGCAGTGAATTAATACTTCTACACACGGAATGTAATTCAATGTCGATTTTACAGAGCAGGGATCGTATTAGCGATCTGTTCTCAGAGTTACATGTGAGCGTATCTGTCGATCACGTGGTCGGGACACTACTTAGCCTCGACAATCCTGATTCCTTTACCATCACTCCGATGAGGCCTACTATCACTATCACAGCTTAAACTGCGGTTTTTGTGTGCACTAGCTACGGGAGACCAGATCTACCACGGCCGAGTGCAGAATGCTGGCCCAGGATTCTGTGCATCAGGATCCGACCGGTCCATACGCGGCATGACCCCCATACTCTACCGCGGAAAGTTTGACTGGTTCTGCTCTTCTCACTGGGGATCTCGATCGACGCGGCCTTTGGGCTTACCTCTTGCCGCTGCAATCAATGACTCTGCTTGGCCTTGGCCATTGCTTCAGCTACGGAAGTGCAGGCCACTGCCGGTGCGACCGCTGCCAGATTCAATCTCTTCGGTGATCCTTGAGTACAAGGCAACGCTCAAGGAGGTTGAAGCTGCGGATCGAAAAGATCGGCTGATTGTGCGACCCGTGTGCAAGCTGGACTCTGCTGGGTACTGAGCGTCCTGCCGTTTGTTTGTAGCGCCCCGTCGAGCCGATGGAATACGGTCTTGCTTCTGTCTACGAATACTATCTACCGAAATCCGCCTGCCTATTGAAGGGCAGGGTCCGAATCAAGAAAGACCGGACTGGACAGGACGATGGGACGCGGATGCAAAGGCAGGTGTTTGAGCGAAGTGACCGCTCTAGGATCTCCATGTTGCGCCCTGGATACTGTAGGATAATAGGCCCATCATCTCCTGGGACCATTACTTCACGGACACATAGTCACCACTACGGCTGTTCACTGTACCGATGTCCAGTCTCCTTCAAGTCTGCTTCGGTGGCGCTTGGTCCAATACGTCACTCGGCAGTATGAACCGATACAATCCAAGACCTTCCGTGACGTCAAGCTTTGCGATGGTCTTCTCTGCGTTGGAGGCGATGTGCAGCACGAACACGACAGTCGTAGCTAGGACTGGAGGCCTATAGCGTTTCTAATCCGACTGGCGGATGCCAGCGCACGATCTCAGGCAGCAGTTGTAATCCTAGAACATACAAACGGCGGGCAGCTGGACTCGTTTTGACAAGCTACGTACATACCAACTACTTACATACATACAAGGCCATGCAATGCCACGGCAGGTAGATGGGAATCACATCGACACTGAGCGAATGAGTCAGCTCCGTCGAGTCAGCTCCAAGTTTGCCCTTCTCCAAATCCAAAAGCCCTCTTCATGGCGCCTCTCGACCTCGATGCATGCATCGAGCAACTGCTGCGCAAACAGCTCCTGCACGAGGTCGTCATTCGGGAGATCTGCACCAAGACGAAAGAGGTGCTGATGCGCGAGTCCAACGTCGTGCACGTTAGCGCGCCAGTGACAGTCGTCGGGGACATACACGGGTGTGTGCTATTGCAGATTCCCGCTCGTCTATGTGTGCTAAGAGGGTGGCGGTAAGCCAGTTCTACGACCTCATTGAGATATTCAGGATAGGCGGATACGCGCCGCACACGAACTATCTGTTCCTTGGTCCGTTCCTCCGTCTTTGGCGTACGCGCGCGCGCTCTGAACCATGTCTTGAAGGAGACTACGTCGACCGGGGACTATTCAGCGTTGAGACGATCTCGTTATTGACGTGCCTGAAGCTGCGATACCCAGATAGAGTGCAGCTGATTCGAGGAAACCACGAATCCCGGGCCGTGACGCAGGTTCGTCTTCCCCCCGCGCCCGTCCTTCCATATCTCAAGATATGTCCTCTCTATCCCCACCCTGCAACAGAACTACGGCTTCTACACGGAATGCATGCGGAAGTACGGCTCCAGCCACGCCTGGACGTACTTCACGGACATGTTCGACTTCCTCACGCTCTCCGTCGTAATCGACGATCGCGTATTCTGTGTCCACGGAGGTGTGTGCCATGCTATGCCCGCCATGCTTCCATGTGAACCAACCGGTGCCGCAGGTCTCTCCCCGTCAATACACTCCATCGACCAGATCAAGGTGCTTGACCGCTTCAGGGAGATCCCACCGGACGGCCCGATAGCGGACCTCGTCTGGTCTGACCCCGACGCGGAGAAGGAGGACTTTGCCATCTCACCAAGGTGCGTGTCTCGTCTCGTGCGCGTCAGGCCCGAGTTCCGCCCAACACCAACACTAACGCAACACACTGCAGAGGCGCGGGATACACGTTCGGCTCTGGGGTGGTGCACAAGTTCCTCGAGATGAACCAGATGTCGCACATCCTGCGCGCGCACCAGCTGTGCATGGAGGGCTACACCTCACTCTTCGACAGGCACCTCTCCACGGTGTGGTCCGCGCCCAATTACTGTAAGCGTCCCACCCAGTCTATCCCTTCGCCCGATCCCGGCTGATTCCCTGCCCCGCCACGCCAAGGCTACCGCTGCGGCAACTCCGCGAGCATCCTGGAAGTGAGCCCCGGCGGAGGCATGTTCTTCAACGTCTTCGAGGCCGCGCCCGAGAACGAGAGAGACGGCCCGAATCAGCAAGCCGCGCAGAACGCCAATGGCAAGGTACGTTTTGGTGGTTGTTATCGTTCCGACGCATACGCGACCCGCTGAGCCTCTTCGTGTAGCTCCCGGAGTACTTTTTATGAGATGTACTTGGCACGATATCAGGTCGAATGTAGTAGTAATACGTACATCGTGTATTTATACTGAGTTATGGAGCGCTTTAGGTTGTTCAAACAGCTCAAATAGACGTGGAAATAAGAAAAAAAGTACATGCACATACACATAACATAATTGTAATTCGTCGTTTCGAAACAATCCTCGGAGCACTGACTGCTGTAGAGTGTAGATAGTAGTAGTAACGGTAGCCCGGAAACATTACGGTTCCATGGCATCCTCGAATCCTGCAACGACCTTCTCTTTGGTCGTCTTGACCTTCGCAGCCATCTCGCGAGTAAGCCTCGCCGTTTCTTTTACCCAGATCGCGTTGATTTCTTCAACCGCGACGTCTTCCGCGATCATCTCGGTTTCGTCAATTCCCAATCCCCGCAAAAGCTCTTCATGTCGGACAATCGCAGCCAGCTGCACATCGCTCGCACCGCCCCCACTTCGGTTGGCACCCTGCGTGAAAGACGAAGACCGCCCGAATGCGCGTTTGGCTTTGGCTCCCTGCGGAACTGCACCCGGCAATCCGGCGGGTGAAGCGCAAGCCACCAGACCAAGACCCTCGAGCATGCCGATCAGATCGTTGAACTCGCTCCGCGACACGGCTGAGAACATGCCATCCCCCGACCGAGACATGATCGAGGTGTAGAAGGCATGCAATTGTGCTGGGTCGGTCGCGCTGGATCGCACAGCCGTGGTAGAGAGTCGCAGGCCAGCTTCTAGTCGCTTCGTAGCCAGCAGCAGAGCGAGCAAGACAAGACGTGCTTGCAGGCCCAACGACCGGATTTTCGACACGATTTCGCTGTTTGCTGGAGCGCCCTTGGACGCGTTGTGAGATGACACCGAATGGGCTTTCAGTGCAGCCAAAATGTGAGATGGCGCTACAGTCAACTTGACCGCGGGATTGAGGGGGTTGCTTTCTGAGCGCGTGGGCGACGGTGCGGATTGAGCAGCAACGGCGAGGTCGATCGCGCCTCGCAAGACTTCGAACAGACTCCGGACGTCACCGGTCAGTGCGGCCACCTTTTTCGAGAGAAGAGTCAGGGCATTGGGGCTCAAGAACTTCTTGGCTTCCTCGCTCGCGCGTTTCGCTTCCTCCTCGTCCTCACCCGGGCCCTCGGCGTATAAGGGAGCAAGCCGGCTTTGGAGAATAGATAGCAATTGAGCAGGGGTATAAGGGGGAAAATGAATCGTGGAAACATTGCTGGAGGTAGGCACGAATCCAGTCGCTGAGGACGCAGTTAGCGTGTGTGTGTTTGCGATACCAACGACCCGTAGTGTGGATGGTCGAGACGCAGACAAGGAAAATAGAGATGTTAGAGTCTGTGCTGTGGGTGCGATGTGGTCTAACTCGTCGAGGAAGATGATACTTGAGTAAGCGATCAGCGCTCATGCGTGAGGAACACAAAAGTTAGCTGTACCGTTTAGTTGAAGAAGCTGCCAGCAATGCTTCGACCGTCTCCCTTCCTTGCACCTTCTTCATGCGATTGCCTCCCTTCTTCTTATCCTTATTACCGCCAAGCTCTTCAATCAGTCGGTCCCAGAGCACATCGAGCGAGTTCAATGCCATGCAGTTGATAGTGATGACCTTGACTTGCTGGACGTCGAGGTCACGTAGAATCGAGTTCACCAATGCAGTCTTCCCGGTTCCAGGCGACCCAGAGATGTATAGACTGGTCTGCTCGACATCAGGTGCGTCCTGCACGAGAGTTGAGAAAAACGCGGATAGTAACGCGTGCTCGGCCTCGCGACCGGTCATGTCGGTGGCAGGGCTATTGCAAGTGGAGCGAAGCAAAGCGCGGGCGCGTGCATATATGGGCAGCAAGATGGTTGGAGGGGTAGGCGGTGGGGTGACGAGTGTGAGTTGAGCAATCTCGGCCGTTGGTGTGCCGGGGATGAGGGATGTCGAAGCGCGTCGCACGACGCCTGGGATGTTGGGTAAAGGTTATAGAAAGTTGGTGAGGGTGGCATACCTTGTCGGGAGCGTGTCGGAGAGCCATCTAACGTGGAAGAGCGTCTAAGCGCACGCGCTGCGCGAGGCGAGGCGGGCGACGGGAGGGGAGCAATGACGAAGGGTGGGATATTTTCTTTATTACCGTCGCCATCAAGGACGAGGCCGGAAGTACGAGGGCGTTTCGGGTTGGGCGTGTTGTCGGGGGTTTGCAGCTGCTGCTTCGTGTCGGTGCTGGCGGGGGTCGAGGACTCGGCAGCATGAGGACGCTTGCCGAGCACAGTGTTGCTGCGGGTGACTGAGGGCATCGTGTCGGTCACCTGTCGGTCGAGGAAGTAAGGCCGTCGCGAGGGTGGTGGTGGTGGTGGTGGAAGACTGAAGAGCCCTGAGAGGGCCACCCTCTTGATGGTCACACAACATGTAGGCGAGATCAAATACAAACACAAACATATCGCGTCGCGACGCGTTAAACAGACCCATGTGACCGGTAATATCCGTGATCTCATCAACGTGATGGTATTGGACTTGATTTTTGTTTTGTTTTTTGGGTTGTGGGCTCAATTTCAAGTAGTGCATTTCACAGAACAAACTCGCAACACTCAATTCGGGTGTCTCAAAGCAAACGGATGTTATTCGGCTACAAATGAACTTGTCTATGATATTTACAGGACGCTTGGATAGCTTTGGCTGTACCACTGGTCTTTGTGGTTGTCTAATTGGCGGCATACAGAACGGAGCTGACATGCGCATCCCACGCAGACACGGTAGCAGCAGGCCAGGCGACTGTCTCTGTTTTGTAATATACGTCCGCTTGTCCAGTGATCACGCCATCCGGAAGGATCTTCGGAATAACGGTAGCAGTGCTGGGCTGGGCTGTGGTGGTGATTTTGCCAGTGTCCGGGTCAACGGCGCCGACTTTGGAATTGCCGACGAAGAAGTCGCGGATAAATGCAAAGGAGCGGGCTGGGTTGATGACGGGCGTCTGGTGCCCGACTCCGTAGATCAGACCGTAGGTCCAGCCCCGCTCCTGACGGACAACACCGGCAAACAGGCCCGAGTCATCGTACCAAGACGTGTTCGGCTTGACAGTGAAGCCCTGGATGCCACCGAATGTGGTGTTCTGAATGACGACTTCCGTGGACCAGTGGGTCGTCAGGGCATCGTCGTTTCCGGAGTACCAGACAAAGTCGATGCCCTCCTCAGTGGCATTTGCGGCAAGCTCATCAAGGAAAGTGGTCGGCCTAGCAATGTATAAGTTTGCTGGACAGAGCTGAGTCACACTCATCGATACTCACGGAGGGCTAGGGTCGGTGCCATTCGCAACATTGCCCCACGGGTAGGTCGTCGTGGTGACACGCCAGATCTCGTTGTGCGGCGCGTGGAGAGCCGCACGAGTGGTGTTATCTGATCGACATCAGCACATTCCAATCACAGCCGGCAACCAAATCACTCACGGTTCATCCAGTGATGCGGGTGCAACTTGAGGGAGATCGGGTTCACCAAATACGGGACGTCAAGGAAATCGAAGCTGAACCCAAGTTGTGCTGGGGAGAAACATCAGGGGGAGGGAGATCAAGGATGACGACACACATACTCCACGGATAGGTAAAGTTCAGAGCGTAAACAAGCGCAGTGTCACGCAGATCACAGCCAAAGAACGGATTGATTTCTCCTCTGAGCGCGAAATCGAACGGAGGGAACCCTGGGAACAGGTTGACTCCTGAAGGAGAACCGGTGCTGGAAGCCGCCGACGAGGATGTCTTGGACGCTTTGGCTGAGGTCTTGGACGCTTTGGCCGACGTCTTGGTGACCTTGTGCGTGGATGTCTTTGAAGGAGAGGCAGTAGGAAGAGACGAGGCCGGTCCGACCAAGCTGCTCGACATGGGAATCACCTGACGAGGTTCCTCGAGAGAGCGGCGACGATGCTCTTGGGGGAAATCCATCCAGCGCTCGTGCAGTTCCTCCATGAAATCCTTGGACGCATCGATGGAACGACGGCGACCAGGTTGCGGCAGTCGGTGTCCCAGTAAACCCTTGAGAATCCGCGTGTAAGGCAGCTTTCCACCGGTCTGGGGGTAGGTCAGGTTGAGGTCGAAGTTGCACAGGTGCTGCTGATCCCGGAAGTAGTCGTAGATAGTCGTGTTGTATCCGATCAACTGAGGGTACGTCTCCAAGACGCGGACGATCGGGATGTTCTCGAACAGATTCGCTTCCCTAAAGTGGGTCAGATTGAGCTGACACAAGTGAGCCAATCAACGCACGAAAGAGCCGGGTTTGAGACTCCGATCTTTCCAATGAGGAAGGTACGGTCCTCTTTGGGAATTCCGAAGTAGGCCTGTAGGATGTACGGAATGAACCGTCCGGCATATGACTCGCCGACAAGGTGCAGCGGGCGATTCTTGAGACCGGGGAAGACTTTGACCAAGTTGCTGAGGAAACCAAGCTGGAGACGTTGAGCGAACGCGACGAGATGCAAGGCAAATGGCTCACGAAATCGGAGGCGACTCGAGACTCGTCAGCGGGATATCCTCCGATACCGACGGTGGAATAACCGACGCCAACAGGATTGTCGACGAAGAACTGAACAAACAATTATGATCAGCACCGGCTGCAAATTCCAAGATGGGGGCTGCCGACCATGTCTGCGATGTTGTGCCAGCTGTACGGGTTTGGGCCCAGTGAGTCCTTGGTCACGACAATCGGGCCAATGTTTTCCACGAGCGCCGAGGCGACACTAGAGTATCCAGGCCCGCCAGCGAGCCAGATCATCCACGGCTCCTTCGAGTGCACATCGGTCAGCGATCCATTGCTCTTCTCGAAACCCCAGAAGAAGGCGGTGTTGTTCGGGCTCCCGACCGTCTTGGTGGAGATGCTGCCAGCCCAGTTACGCGGGAGAGGCCAGGTTACATTCTCCAAGGGCTCGGTGACCTCGAAATCTGCGCAAAGAGTAAGGTCGAAAGCAGGAGCAGAATGGATAAATCCCCCTTACAGTTCTGCCAGTGAGGACCGTATCCTGTCGTGGGCTTCCCGGGATCGTGCGCAGGGGAGCTCCAGTTTTGAGTGGCGAGAGTGAGCGGCAGCAAAGAGAGAGACGCGCCAGCGACGGCGAGCACGGATCGGAAGACCATTTCAGACAGCGAAGTTCTGCAGGGCGTCGGAACGAGATGAGGCTTTGTCCTGCTGAAAGACTGTGCGCGGGCCAGGTTATAAGGCGATCCGGTATCCATTTTTGGTACGTAAACTTCGCAAGTGCAGATGTGATGGTGAAGTGGATTGCCATGCTGGTGTCCACATTGTGCAGCCGGGCATGACTCGTGGGACGACGTTTGTGAGAGAGAGATCGACGTCTATATCCAGGACGACCTTAATTTTGGATCGAATGCCCCAGAGAATTATTTGTGGTCTTCGGCTGAGGAACGGAGTGTCGAGCATGCCACGGCGGCCGACTCTTGAGCACCGAGTTGGAGTCGGAAGAGGGTTCCTGAGGGTTCGACACTGGATGCTACACGTGAGAGCACGTGCCTGCATGTGGAACCCTGAACGATACATCTCATCTCCGAGCTTCTTCTTTCTTGCTGTGCCGGCTCGAGATTGCAGGGAGGATCTTTCTTCTTATCCTGTCGCGACTCCTTCGAACTCGATGCGGCACGCGGGCAGACCCAAGTGAGACGACAACATCACGCTTTCCATGACACCGGGTTCTGTTGCCGGAAAGGGAAACGAGCGCGTTGGAAGATAAGACTCGGATGCAACGCCGAACAAACAAAGCTGGTATGGAGAGCACGCGCTGCCTGAACTGACTGGCCTGCTTCACGGGCGCATCGGAAAGATCTGCACGCTGCTTCGAACAATCTGTTGGGGTGAATCCCGATGTACATGACGTATCTAGCTGCGACATCTTACAGACGGATGGTGTGCTATCCTGCTTTTTTTGCTGGCTGGACTCGATACATCTCCAGATAGTCCGATTCCGGCTCTCAATTTGGACCTCAGTAATTGCTACTGTAGTGTGCTGTTATGAATTTCCTGCTTACACTGACCACCTATCATGTCCGGGATAAGCGATGCCGTCTACAGAATGGCCCACTATCCCAAGATCTTTGTCGTGCTGACGCAGGAGCAAGGTGAGTTACGACAAGCGTCGTTACAGGATTCAAGTTGGACCGGGTGGACTTCGCAACTGGCTAAATTGATCCTGGCCAATGAGACTGTGCAATGTTATCGCAATTTTTATATATATCAACTCTCTGCGCAGATTTCGAAGCTCACTGTGCACTTCGTGCCGTATAAGGCCGTATATTGGGGTGCTTCGCTTGGACATTGCTTACTGCTTTCGGATCATTAAATGATCGCCGGGCCGTGATTCCCGATCAGATATGGCATCACACATCAGTTTTCACGTGCAGATCCTCCGGTCTCTCTCCCCACACACATGTTTCTCCGACCAAAGCCAGTCTCATCAAGCCTGCGTGCACTTCAGCGCGCCTACTCGAGCACGCCTGCGCCACATGCACTTGTTCTTCTTGAACAGCGTCAAGGAGACATCGACTCGGCTTCGCTATCTGCATTGACTGCTGCCGAGCAGTTGGGTGGACAAGTCACCGGCCTCATCGTCGGCGCAGCCCAGCATGTGGCTGGAGCCGTGGAGAAGGCCAAAAAGTAATTTTAAACCTTCGGCACCACCCTCACCTGATAACCGGATATCATTAGACTGAAAGGCGTCACTGCACTGCTCCACTCTTCATCGGCCCAATACGCAGAGGCATCGACCGAAACGGTCTCTCTTTTGCTAGAGAAGCTGCTTTCCGAGTCCTCTCCCTTCACCCATGTCGTATCCGCGCACACGGCATCCGCCAAGTCACTGCTACCCCGTGTAGCAGCGCGGCTCGACCTCCCCGCCGTCTCCGACGTCACGTCTCTGGAGCACGACGCAGCCTCGAACAGCACGACATTCACGCGCCCGATATACGCCGGGAACGCCATCGCCACTGTTCGTGCATCCTCCGCCGTTCCCATCAAGTTCTTCACCGTCCGTTCGACGGCGTTCTCTGCCGCTACATCCACAGACAGTGCTGCAGAGGACAAATCGCTCGAGCCGATCGAAGTCTCGGAGCCTCTGTCGGAGCACCTCCAGACGCTTCTCGCAAAATCCGACCGGCCGGACCTGGGTGTTGCGAGCCGAGTCGTGTCCGGTGGCCGGGCGTTGAAGAACGCAGAGACTTTCCAGTCGACTCTGTACCCTCTGGCAGATGCGTTGGGCGCTGCCGTCGGTGCCTCGCGGGCCGCGGTCGATGCCGGCTATGCAGACAACTCGCTCCAGGTCGGGCAGACCGGGAAAGTGGTTGCCCCGGAGCTCTACATGGCCTTCGGTATCTCTGGTGCTATCCAACACTTGGCTGGGATGAAAGACTCGAAGATGATTGTTGCTGTAAACAAGGCACGTCTCCGTCAGTGGGAAGGCGTATCAAACTGACCATGGTATCGCAGGATCCGGATGCTCCCATCTTCCAAGTAGCAGATGTTGGGCTTGTTGCGGATCTCTTTGAAGTCGTTCCAGAATTGGTGACGAAATTGAAGGAATGACCGTGACCATTACAGCATGCATTAGGACAACAACGAAGCATCATTCATATCTTAGCAATAAGTAGATTTCTAAGCATCTCTCTCCCCGTCACTCGCACTGTGTGGTACAGCGTGATGATATCTAAAGTCGAGAAGAAGGTATCCGCCAATCCGAATGGCAGCATGAGCGGGATCCAGCCTGAATCACGTCGTTCAGCTTGCGTCAGTCGTTTGAGTATGAACCTCCCACCTCTGGCATACTCGAGCGCGAAGCAGCCCTCGTGCATTTTGTATTGCTTTGCTGTTCCCCGGGGCAAGTAGTGGACTGAGCCCGGAGGATACCTCTCCATCTCCAGAGCACCCGGTGCGAACGCCCACTGCTCACCCACCAGGATGTTAAAGTAATCATCAGCAGTGTGCAGGCCCGTATGTCCCTCCGTCCCCAACGGCGTCCCGAAAATGATCAGGTATTCCGTGATACTGGCGTGGATGATGTACATGGCGCCCATCGCGCCGCCGGCGTTGTTGAAGACCCACTCGCTGGAGTCTGTGTTCAGCTTAATCTGCTTCGAGGGATACGTCGCAGTCAAGTTCGCCACGATGTGTCGGATCATCCCAGCAGTATCGTCGGGGCTTGCGGCAATTGCCGCTTGCGCGAGTTGGTGCATGGCCGTGGGGTCGAAAACATACCAGCGACTCTGTAGCCAGTTAGAGCGTCCGAAACTTCCGTGAGTGCATACATACCTTGATCTGGTCTAGGAACCCGCCGAGCACGACTAGTACAGAAAAGACCACTGCGCTGAGAACCCATTTATTGGAGAAATCGACGACAGATTGAGATTCAGAGCGCGTCTTGGCTTTTTTGGAGGAGGGCATGGTCGTTGAGCACGCTTTTGACGCGTCGAGGAGAGGCAAATGGACGTGTCCACTGTAGGAGTTTGAAGAACACTCAAAGTCGTACCACCGTTTTGTACCGGAGATCAAGCAGGAATTACATAAGCGTCGTTCGACTGACATTCATATTACCTGACAAGGATAATATCTCATGCAGAGTGCGGGTGTACTTGAGCTGCACCTGTCCAAGGCGGACGGCCGATCCGCCAAGCGCTTGGCAGGATGTGGACATGGTGCCGCGGTACTTGAGTGGTACCAGTCGAGACAACGTGATCGGCAGCCACTGAGTGATGCGGCTGACACCTAGGGATCGTCGGCACACCACTCGCGGGCACCGCCACCCGCCGCCGAGCTACTTTCACACTGCCCCACAATGACCAGCGATGTTTTTTCTAGTTTCGGCGCCCTCGATGAACTCATACAGGTGATATATCAGGGCTTGGACAAGTTTGTCTTACTCTCCGACATCTCTGAGGACAAATGGCACATTCATCTCGGTCTTTCTGAGGACGGTCGCTGGTGGCATGGCAGCTGGAACGCGCCTGATGTCGAGGCGATTGTTGGGAATACATCAAGTGAAACGCTTCTGGAAATCTTTGCCGACAAGCTCGCTCAGTGCATCGTGCACGGTGAATTGCATGTTGAGACGGGTGACTGCTACAAGGCAGGTCACCCCATTACACTTGCTCGACTCTCTGACTATATGTCGTGAGCAGCTGACAATCGGGCCAACGTCGAAGAAGCCCATGCATGTTGAATTAGATGAAATGAGTGCCGAAGACGGTGCGATATACACGACGCAAGTTCTGCTCAAAGTAATCCCTTTGACTGGTTGACCACCGAGTATTCAATTCTTGTGCCAGATAGGTCTCCAAGCGCAGTCTCGACAGTCACGACTGAACACGGCTGCTTTCGCTGCTCCGATTCCTCCGCAAGCTGTCCCTCGTATGTGATACTTCTATCGAAGAGCAAGCAGTCTAGACCTGATCCATCTGGATGTATCAGAATCTTCGCCAGCACCCAAGATCAAGGCTAGGAGATCAAGTCCTAGCGTTACCACAGAACCCGCTCACGGGACGCACACGGAGTCTAAGCAGAGAACCAACTACAGCTCTTCCACGGCCCATAGCAATTCGCCCGTAAAACCAGAGCCCTCACAAGAGTCGAGTAAGAAAAAACGATCAGCCCCTTCTCCAGAGCCAAGTTCTCGCAGTAGGCCCATTTTCCTTTGGGCTGCTGTATGAGTTGACAGTTTTCCTGTGCAGAACCCACACCGCCAGCCCGTCCGCTCAAAGGTGCATCGCTCGCAAACCCCAACAAGAAGGCCAGGAAGCATCAGGCCTTGCAATTTGCGAGTGACGACGAATCATGCTGACGTTGATTCTCGCTGTTTGCAACGTGTAAGTCGCATATTCGTTGCCTCGTACCTTCGCGTCCATACGTAGATCAGGCGTGTGTGTGTTATGCATTGTAGTAGGCGAACGTGGCGGCTGTCCTAAAACGGGGAGAACTCAACCTGACTCCTGACTCCAAATTTATCACACCACCGTACCTAGCGCTGCCAGCGAGATTTCATCAGATCAAACTTAGCTATAGCATTTGATCTCTCGTCTCTCTCTCCTACTTCCACCTACTAAGTACATGGCTTCTACAGCATTGCCTGCTGCGCAGACAAACGACCTTCTCCGCGAGATCCTCGCCGTGGTCCAACAGAATGTTTGTGCTCTCCGTGGATCTCATTCGGCGGACACTCATTCTTCCAGTCCTTGGACCTCGCCTCTGTGCGCCACGAATGCGAGCAATTGCGCCAAGCAAATGCGATTCTCGAGCTGAAACTGAAGGATAACATCCCGGTGCGCAGTTAGTTATCCTCGTAGCGCGATCCAACTGAACGTTGACGAAGGGTCTGAAAAGCGGAACCCCTGGGTACATGACGCCGCAACCTCCCTCTAGCCCACAACTCCGCGCCAAATCACCCTTCCTCTCCAACGCTGTACCGCCCATCGCTCAATCTCAAGCCCACCAGCCCTCCCCTCTGGGCGACAGCGTCCTCGCCCCCCTGGGCACTGGGCAGCTGCGCGAGATTCCGGGCTTCTACGTTGTCATTCCCGCTGGAGGCGCTGGCACCCGACTTTGGCCGCTGTCGCGCGAAAACCACCCCAAATTTCTGCTCGATCTCACGCTGAAGGGCCGCTCGCTGATCCAAGCGACCTGGGATCGGCTCCTTCCCCTCACCTCCGCCTCGCGCACCACGATTGTTGCAGGACCGACCCATGTCGACGACATCCACTCGCAGCTTCCGGAGCTCCTTGCGGAGAATCTGTTCTGCGAGCCTGGCCCCAAAGATTCCATGGCTGCCATTGGCCTAGCCGCTGCCGTCCTGGCGAAGCGAGACCCGACTGCCATCATCGGCTCCTTTGCCGCGGACCACATGATTGCCGGAGACGATGCGTTCCTGACTGCAGTCGCAGAGGCGGTCGAAGTGGCCCGGCACAACTACCTCGTGACGATTGGTATCGCACCCTCCCACCCCTCGACGGGCTTCGGATACATCCGTCTCGGAGAAAAGCTCAACATCAACGAAGCGCCAAACTCTCGACTTGTGTCCAGCTTCAAGGAGAAACCGGATGCGCGCACCGCTGCAGCGTACATCGCCACTGGTACCTACCGATGGAATGCCGGAATGTTCGTGACTAAGGCATCGTTCCTGTTGGAGCTGCTCAAAGAGTACAACCCGGACCTGCACAAGGGGTTGATCGCCATTGCTGATGTGTGGGACGATGCTTCGAAGCGCCAGTCGGTGCTGGACAGAGTGTGGCCCGGGTTGGTCAAGATTCCGATCGATAATGCGATTGCCGAGCCTGCTGCATTGACTGGCCGAGTTGCCGTTGTTCCTGCCACCTTTGGTGCGTTTGAACGCATGTCGTTTTTTATCTTTTTTTTTGACAAGGGACAAAGGTTGGGACGATGTCGGTGATTTCTCCTCGCTTGCAGACTTGCTCCCGGCGGAACTGAACCAGCCTCGTATTCTGGGCGACCCGAACTCTGGTATGTGGCCACTTCGTTGCCCTCTTTCTGTACTGACATGGGGCACTTCCAGTGATTACGGAGCAGGTTGCTGGAGGAATAGTTGTCCCGCAGTCGGGACGGCTTGTTGCGTGTCTTGGAGTGGACGACCTGGTCATTGTCGATATGCCGGACACTTTGCTTGTGACTACTCGTGCTCGGTCGCAGGAAGTGAAGCGTCTTGTTAGCAAAGTTCGTGACGCAGGCTGGAACGGGCTCCTCTGAAATGGACAAATTGAATCACGTGGAAGCACATTATCATAATTAACCCCCCCTGGAACACTGCTACGTTATTACATAGAGAGAACATGTACTATACCAATCAATGGGAACCCGAGGCGTCGCGGAAAGAGACGCGGACATGTGCTAGTCAGGTGATACCTGGAGGCTGTCGACGCACCTGATCTGATGCTCTTCAGTCCGAGATAGCATGTCGTCCGAACAAGAGCCTCTGAATAGTTCTGGGACAAGCTATGGCGCAGTTGAGCCTGCGCCCGCGGTCCATACTCGTGGTCTGCAACGAGGTCTCTCTGCCATACAGGTCCAGATGATTGCTATAGCGGGGACAATAGGTTATTGCTACGCGCAGTCCTCTCGACGTTGTTTTCGGCACTGAAGCTGTATGTACAGGGACAGGCCTCTTTCTTGGTGACTAGCGTCGAAATACCTGATCGAAACTGGGACTCTGATTCATCCTCGAAGGAACTGGAAAGTCGCTGGCCGAGGGCGGACCTGCAAGTATGCTGATCTGCTACACCCTCGTCGGGGCCATCGTCTACGTGACGCTCCTCCTGCTCGGAGAAATGGCCACGCAGTACCCAGTCGCAGGCTCGTTCAATGCGTACGCTGCGCGCTTCTTCTCCCCGTCGTACGCCTTCGCGCTTTCGTGGAACTACTGGTTCAACGATGCGGTGTCGGTCGCGTCCGATCTGATCGCCGCACAGCTCGTGCTCCGGTTCTGGACGTCGAGTTCGTATACGTGGATCGTCAGCGCTACCTTCTGGCTCTTCCTGGTAGGCGTGAATGCGATACACGTCAAGGCTTATGGGGAGCTGGGTGTGTGCTGGACCGAGTGTTGATTTTTGGTGTCTGACGTGTGCAGAATATTGGTTGTCGTTCCTCAAGGTTGCGACTGTTGTGATGTTCATCATCCTCGGGCTGCTCGTGAATGTGGGCGTCAACGCGGAGCGGGAAGTTATCGGGTTCAGCAACTGGAAGATCCCCGGCGCACCTTTCGTTGGCGGCTTCGGTGGTTTTGCCAAGGTGTTTGTGACCGCCAGCTTTGCATGTCAGTGCATCCGTATGGAAGCGAAAACAGACTTGGGACTAATCGCCACGCAGTTGGTGGGACGGAAAGCCTTGGAATCACAGCTGGAGAGACAGCGAATCCGACCAAAAATATGCCGCGTGTCGTCAAGTTCGTTTTCTGGAGGTCGGTTCTGTTAGGGTTCGCTCCCTTGGTCTTCGTGAAAACTTTGCCAGGATTATCCTCTTCTATCTCCTGAGTGTGCTGCTCATCGGATTGAATGGTCTGTCCACATGCTCTCTGTTGTTGTTCGACGTTCAACTGTGACAGTTCCATGGGATTATCCCAACTTATCTGACAAGAGCACGGCGACATCGCCATTCACCATCGTCTTCAAAGAAGCAGGCTCGACATTCGCGGCGTCCTTCATGAACACCGTCATCCTCACGTCCGTGCTCTCCGCAGGCAACCACGCGCTCTTTGCTGGGACGAGGGTCCTCTACGGGCTCGCTGTGACCGAACCGCCGCAGGCGCCGACCATCTTCTCCTGGACGACATCCCGTGGTGTCCCGCTGCCGGCGTTGCTTCTGACCAGCAGCGTCAGCGCGCTTTGCTTTGGCAGCAGCCGAGTCGGGAACGGGGTGGTAAGTACGATTCAAGCAGACAGCGGAACCCAGTTTTGATTCGGTCTGTGTACTACTTATTAGCTCTGGGCATGGCTCCAGAATCTCGTGGGTGTCTCCAATCAGGTGCGTGGCTCGCAAGTTGCGCTGTTCTCTCACTTCCCGACACTATCCCGAGATCGCCTGGCTTTCAATCGGTCTGGCGAGCTGGCGATTCAGGAAAGCGTGGCTCAGCCAAGGGCGCTCGCTGTCGGATCTGGGATTCCACGCGACATGGACTTGGCCTTACGGCCCTCTCTTCGTGGTCAGACCCAGCCCCATCCTCTTGAGCCGTTCATCTCACAGACTCTCATCTCAGATCGTCACGGTCCTGATTCTGATCATTGGTCTGGCCTTTCGTCCCGTATACCCGCCGCCTTGTGCTCGCTGACAGTGATGGACCTAGTGCAAGGATGGTCTTCCGTGATTCCCAAGTTTTCGCTGGTCGACTTCGTGTCCTTCTACGTCGAGATTCCACTGATGGTGGCCATGTATCTGGTCTGGGCCTTCGCGTCTCGCAGATCCCTGGCCGACTTGGTGGACGTGGACTGTGTCGACCTGGACAAGGACCAGTACGTCGACGACAAAAGCGACGACGAAGTCCCCGAGAGTCGCGGCTTCTGGCAGTCAATGTATTACTGGCTAGCATGAATCCTCAAATGTACACATGATAAATAGAGATGGAACAATGCTGTTTTGGATGCGCCCGCTCATTTCTTCACCGTGCCAATCACAACCTCCGGCGCGTATCGCGGGATGACCTGCGGCGCGTGGAGCATGTTGAATTCTTCCGTCGCATCACGACCGGCATACAGCATGATCGCTTTCTCTCCTCCGGGGTGGTCTGGCAGGAACTAGAAGAAAAAGTGTCAGGAGATTGTCCCATAGAAACGTGATCCATCACGCACCTTGGTCACGTCGAGCACCTGGCCATTGACCGCAACCCAGACGTCGTCCTTCGAAGTGTGCTTGGCAACCTCCTCCATGGTGTACTCCTTCGACGATGAAGACGACGACGCTGCCGAGGCTGACGCTGCCGGGGCTGCGGCCGGAGCCGGAGCAGAGGAGGAAGAGGGAGCACCAAGCTGGCCAGCGATGGCGCCGAGACGGCCACCCGCCTTCTCGATCGCCTTGGTGGCCGACTGCAGCATGTAGGCTGCGGCAGAGTCACCAGACACACGCCCGAACACAACACATCCGAGCAGCGACGAGCCACCGAGACGGTTGGCACCGTGCACACCACCGGCAACCTCACCCGCAGCGAACAGACCAGCGATGGGTTTGCCAGAGCCGTCGATGACACGCGACTCCGCATCAATCTCCAATCCACCCATGGTGTAGTGCAGCACGGGAGTCATGATGGCAACGTGGAAGACGTCGTCGAACGTCCACTCGCCTTGGAAGAACTGCAGGGATCATACACATCAGATGCAGGGTCGACGACACTACAACGCACCTTCTTTCCGAACGGATCCTTCTTCGTGCGGACGGAGGTGTTGTAGTCTGCGAACGTTTTCTTGAGGACAGATGCAGGGAGACCCATTTCCTTAGCCAACGCATCGCCACTCTCGAATCGCTTCATGAGGCCACGGCCGACGTAGTGTTTGCAGTGCCATTCAATCTCCTTCGACGCGGGGCCGTTAAGGATGAGGCGGATGGGGTACTAGCAAACAGCTTTCAGAAAGACAGTCACAGCCGATAGACGTAGTAGACGCACCTTCTTGTTCTCCCAAATCTTCCCGGTGACGAAGTCACGGTGCTGGAGCTCGTCGACGAAACGAGAGCCAGTGTTGTCCAGCAAGAGACCACCGACACCACGGAGAGCCTCGGCGGCAAGGAACTTCACCTTGGCGTCGGGCTCTTTGGGGTCTACGAGACCGGTGGGGTGGACTTGCACCTTCTCAAGATCGATGCCCTTCGCGCCAATGGCCATGGCGAGCTTCTGCCCATCACCGGTGCAGTGGTCGCCGTTGGTGGTCGGCAGCTCCCAAAGTTCGGGTCGGTACTGCTTGAGGAGGGAGTTTTCCGTGAAGTCGGCAGCATATCCACCGGTGGCCAGGATGACGGGGCCGTACAGTGTCTCGGTCTTACCACCCAACACGTACTCGACACCAGTGACAGAACCCGACTCGTCCTTCAAGAGCTTGGACACGCGCGCCCGCTTGAAGATTTTGACCCGTTCAGGGTTGCTGACGGCCAGGTCCTCCAGGCGCTCCATCTGGGCGTAGGTGATGACCTATCATGATCGCCATTAGGACAAGATCGGCGATAGGACGGAACTTGACGGGCTCACCATTCCGGGGAATTGGGCATCGCCTCCTCGGTGGGTCCGGGGCTGCGAGTGGCCACCGAGACGAGCGACCTTGGACAAGTCGAGGTTGAACTTGGCCTGGAGCCAGTTCACGGCGTCGCCCGAACGGCCCGTGAGGACGCGGATGAGGTCGTCCCGTGCGAGCTCGCGAGCAGAGCGTTTCGTGTCCTCGAAAAAGACTTTGGCGTTGTCTGGAATACCAGCTTCTTGCTGGCTCTGCGTGCCGGCACCGTTGATACCCGAGGTGGCCTTGGTAGAGTTACCTCCCATGAAACTAGTGGGAATGTATCAGCGCAGAACGATCTTGTTCCGGAGGCGACGTACCCCTGCTTGTCGAGCAGAACAACATTGGCTCCCCGCTCGAGAAGAGTGTGTGCTGCAGAGAGACCGGCGAGACCGCCACCAACAACGATAACAGACATGGTAGTAGAGGATAGAGAGACTAACCCGAAGCTGAATATTGGTCACCTTTATATGCACAAACGCATGTCACGTATTTGAATTTCACATGGGTCTCGGGCCGCTATTGCCGATTTTGCCGAAGCGGCCCCACATGATTTTCTGAATTCCCCGGACGCGATCCCTCAAGCCGACCCGACTGGGAGTCGATGATTAAATGTTCTATGTCCAGCCGTATTTCTAACATGTTGCTATCACTTCACATGCTTTGCGCACGGCATCGCCCATCGAGATGTCTAGAGTCTCGAGAACAACCAACCCCGTGACCTTATCAGACGGTGCTCCGTTTTCCATGTCCCGATTCTCAAAGACATCTTGAGTCGCTTCGACAAAGGCCGGATATACGATGTTTTCCCAGTAGTCGGGCGGATCGCGCCATAGCGAGCCTTCTGGATCGGATTGAACTCCAAGATAGAACGCGGAGGAAAGTGGAAAAGGCGGAGTTAGCGGACGGGGGAAAGCGTCAGGGTTGGTGCTAATCTGAGGAGGCGGGGAGCCATACCTGCCGTGTGGTATCCGTGTCGTTCGTGTCGCCGCTGGCGAAGCACATCGTGCGGAACACGGAGAAATATCCGCACGTCCAATTGGTCGATGACTTCCGGATGCCAGTACAAAAGGAAGCCGTCTACCAGGCCCCAGATGATCTCTTCCTGACCGGCCGCGACGCGCTCGTCCCGCAGCTTCGCGAACACTGACGACCAGTGATCCCGAACTTCGACTGGGATGGGCAGATCTTTCTGCTCGTTGAGGTGGTCATGGCTTCGGTGATCTTCAGGGATTTCGCCTGTTGACTTGACTTGGCGTAAAAATTCTATTAAACGGGTCCATTCTATAGCGCCGGGAGCTGCATCCCAGTCTTGGACCTGATGGACAGGGTGCATAGGCACGAGCTCTTGAGGCTTGTCAAGTCGAATTAGATCATATCAATGAGATCATGGAGAAATAGAATCAACTGGTGCAAAATCCTATGGCAAAAGAGCTCAAAGCCACAGTCGCAGTGCGGAGAAATTGCGCACATCTTGATGTATAATAACTGAGTTGGGGAGAATGAGTTTGAGGTGTTTTGCGAGAGTCGTCTTTCCAGAGCAAGTCGCGCCTCTGGTGCCAAAGTCAGGATATGGACGCGCATAAATCCGAATACCAACCCTATTCCCACCAGAATTACCTTGGGCATGCAGGTATGATAGTAGCAGTCAAGCAGATAATCGATACCTATCTTTACCGAGTCACAGCGTTACTATATTGAGCAAGCCATCAATATGATCAATGACATCGGACCCCGGACCGGTTCAGGAATAATCAGCTTGAACCTTGGCCGTGAACTCATCGACTGCGGCTGAGGCCCACATGGTGAGCAGTTGTGTCTTGAGCCGAGGCTTCTACGGGAGGGAATCAAGTCGACTGTCTGCGAGTCATCCTCAGCATCCGTCATGCACAGCATCAGAATAAGTACCCTCCGTGGATCTCGTTTCTTCCCACTGCCATGCACCTCCCCTCCGAATCCTCAGAAGATCGTAACGCGTAAGTCCCCTCATATTCAACCCCTGTCTGCTGATGAATCCCCGCACAGGGTTCTGCACATCGGTACGGACAACCGGTGTACTTCCGGGGCCCTTTTGACAGAATTCCAGTACGGGACCTGAGGGGAGATGCCATTGGCGCTCTAGATCACCCACTCGCCTCGAGCTCGGACTATCCCGACGTAGTGCTTGAAGTAGCAGCAAATCTCTCGCATGGGCGGCCCAGCTCGGATTACTTGATTCTGTGGGAACTAATCCTGCAGCATTGGTTTCCGCAGGACCAAGGCTATCGGATCCAGCATGAATGGAAACTGCCACACTCGTCGTCGTGTTCGACTCTTGCCGTGTTCGATCAGCATAGTAACACTCCCGTCCTTCTCCTACAGCTCTGCGCGCTCGAAGACTTCGACGATATCCAGACACGTGCAACTGCGGAGGCGTTCTCCGAAGAGGACTTCCACCACGTTGCGCAGTACTGTAGCTCCGGTCCGCTCTGTGCTCTGACTGCCATGGGGCAGAGGTGGATGGCGTTCCAGCGCTTCGACGCCTTGACTGGCCGTGAGGCACCACAACTTAGCGGAGAGAGGCGCGTTCAATGGATGGATGATGCCATTTCAGAGTTGTCATACGATCTTCTCCGGAGTCTGCTTGTGGATCTCAAAGAAGGTGTTCGAGTGCTCCGCCTAAATCACTAGCTTGTATCAGCTCTTGTATCGCATGTACTTATGTCGTTGCTGAGCATATGGGATTCGTGACAGAGTCGCATCAACTATTACGGCTAGCGGCCGGAGGCCATCACGAGCTTATCAGTGCACCGGTTGACCGCGCTGAGCGAATAAGCCCGCGGCGTGCGCCTTTTACTTCCTCCCATGAGCTCACCGCCCTCGTCCGATTCCAAACCCAACCTTTCCGATGCTAACCGCGCGGCGGCGAACCAACTAATCTTGGGCATCGGAAAAACCTACCTCTCGGCCCAAGGACTGTCGCCCAATTCCAACTCTGACGAGACCTCTGCGCTTCTTCCGAAACCTGTCTCGTCCGAGGATGGGCTCAAGCAGCCCTCCAAGACTCGGGCTGCAGTGTGGGGGACTCTGACCGCTGTGTTTGCTGCGGCCCTAGCTCTCTTCCTCATCTTCCCCCACTGGTTGCCAGACGAGCTTGCACCAATTGCGGGTCGGTGTGCAGTCGCCCAGAGTTTGAATACAGAGCTCATCGTCTCCGCAGGGCGGCTTCCCCGAGATCCCATGCGTGCAGCGGTTCACATTTTGAGCAAAACCCCAGTCATTGTAAGCGGCTCTTCGTGTATCCTCCGCCCTTCTCATTCGCATTTCTAGGACGGACACATCGGTCTGCTGCTACCCTTGTACTACATCGAATCCCCTCGCTCAACTCGATAGATCTTCCCATTTTCGTTCGAGCGGTGTACTCGAACAACGTCTCTGCGATCGACCTCGAGAGTAAGCTTCCCGGACATGTTGACATCCCCCGCCTCCGCAAGGGGAAAGTTGGGGGATTCTTCTGGTATTTTATCATACGCGTCGGTGCAGAGTCCGTGTTGATGCTTGCTCAGGTCCGTCTATGTCGGATGTACACAGCAAGGCGACGACTTCTTGACCTCTACTTGGCGCGTAAGGTGTGCAGCTCGATGTTCATCCGTCTAGAACTGTATTCAAATCTCGGCGCAGAGACACGCTGGAACAGATCGATGTCGCTAATCTTCTCATTGAGAAATACCCTGATGCGAGTCTTACCTGCCGATTGCTTCAAACCCATCTCACGACGTCCGCAGACCTTCCAATATGCCCTCACCTCGAGTGACATGAAGGACTCCATCGGCAAGGGAAAGATTGCGAGGTTCGTGTCTCGATCGGTTCAACTGGCCACTGTTGAAGGAACACCCCCAGTTTACTCGGTGTAGAAGGCGGCCATCAACTTGGTATGTAGTGGTTCGGTCATCGCTGGCCGGTCGTTCTGAGCCAATAACAGGCAATTCGCTGGCCGTCTTGCGCCAATATTACACTCTCGGGGTCCGTTACATGACGCTGACGCACTCTTGCCACAACGCCTTTGCCGATTCGTGTGGAATAGCTCCCGGCATGATCCCTCTGCATGGAGGACTGAGGCGCGTCCCTCCTGCTCTCCACGACGATCCCGTGCTGATTCCCCACAGTCCTCTGGGCAGCATCCTCATCACTGAAATGAACAGACTGGGGATGTTGGTTGATCTGTCCCATACCTCCGATGCCACAGCGCGCCAGGGACTTAAGGAGTCGCGGGCCCCGGTTATCTGGTGAGTTCCTGCGCAGATCCGCCTAGCTGTCCGGTCGGCTGATTCGCGTCAGGTCCCACTCGTCAGCGCGAGCCATCCACGACGTTCCTCGCAATGTCCCTGACGACATCCTTGCTCTTATCGGAGAAGGGCCCGGCAAAAAGGACGCCGTGGTGATGGTGTGTCCTCGACAATGTATCGTAGACCAGAGCTGAGATTAACCTCAGGTCAACTTCGCGCCTGGCTTTGTGGCCGTGCCTGGTAATGCGACGGTCCAGTCTGTTGCTGACCACGTGGAACACATCGCGAAGGTTGCTGGCAAGCGACAGTACGATCTGTTTCCCCTTGCTTCTAGCGAAATTGGGCTCACTTCTCTGTACAGTGTGGGATTGGGCAGTGACTATGATGGTGTGTGACACGATTGTATTGAATTATGCTGAGCGCCTGACTTGTGGACAGGCATCGACAGTGTCCCAGTTGGTCTCGAAGATGTCTCGAAATATCCTGCTCTGGTAAGCTGCTGCTGTCTCAATCTTCTGTGTCATAGACTAATCACGGACTCAGTTTGCCGAACTGCTGACGCGGGGGTGGACCCGCAAAGAGCTCGATGGCTTGGCAGGTAATAATCTCCTCCGTGTCTTTGACGGCGCAGAAAAAGTGGCTCGGGCAATGAAGGCAGAGGGAGTGACACCTGCTTACGATCTGTACGACAAGCGCACAGACATGCCCATGAAGTTTTGAAGGGCCGATTACACTCGTCCCGACTCCATCGATGTGAACGAGCCATCCACTGGGCTTTCCCTAGCCACATACGCTCTTTGAATAGCCTTCTGTCCGATATGTGTCAATTGTCATTATACAACTGTTGGCTCGCAGCCACGCACCCACGCACCGCATCTCCACCTGCTGCGCGTTTAACGTCACCTCCAAGCCACCTCGCTCATCAAGGGGCTTCTCTCGCCGGACATTTACACCGACGGAGATCAAATCCAACTATCAGTGGATCCAGTCTAGATGAGGGTCGACAAGGCAATAGAACTCTCTACCTCAGATCGCACTTCCATTGTCCCTGTACTTTGTCATCTAGCTTATGACATGGCGCGGATTTCCCTCTACTCCACACGGTGGCGGCATCCCGGGCGTGCTTACTCAGGGATTCGCGCTGTCGGTTTGCTCCAAAAGTGCGCGAGGTTTACAGATCCAGATTCGCAACAAATCTGTGCTAATCATCCATATCCATCCCTTTCCCTTTCCGAGCCGCGATCCTCTCCCTCATCATTGTTTTGGCTGACTCTTGTGCCCTGTCCAGCTTCCCGGCCTTCGCCAAGGCAACCACCAGAGCATGCACCAGACCGAAGTGGTTGTGTTTCCGGAGGCTATTTTCAAACTGCACATATCGGAATCAGGCCTAGAATGGGGCCAGAAAGGTAGAAACCAGACTCACCTGCCAGCGCTCGCGTTTCAAAGTTTCTGTCGAAATCTTCACAACGATCTCCGCTGCTTCGGAGTGCCGATTCGAGGCTTGGAGAGCGCTCAGCTGTGCTTCCAGCTTCGGAAGCGGGTCGTCACGGAGAGCGAGAAGACTGAATTCGAGCTAGACATAGCATTGAGTAGATTGATCGCTTAGAAATGTTCCCCGCCTCACCGCGCCCGCCGGATATGTTGCTATCCGACCCTCGATAGTTTCCCTGGCCCACTGTCAGCGGCTGTGCTTGGGTGGGAAGAGAGAACGGTACCGCGCTTTTTTCAGCCAGCCCTCGCCATCCTCATCGTACGACCCATGACGCACAGGATATTGTTTGAGACCGTCCAGTTCGTACAGAGAACCCATGTAAGGGAGATACACAACGAAATGATAGGCGTCTTCGGATGTCTTCGACAATCCCAATCCGTCTAATGAAATCGCGCTCGGAGGCGAGAGAGAGTTGTGGTACTCTCGCAGCCAATCCGATCCAGTAATCACGAGGCCACGCGTTTGGGCATCCATTCCAGTTGTGAAGCCGAGCAACTCAGTCAACTGTGGCCCGCAGGCGAGAGCCGGAATGTTGCCGAGCGCGTTCATGACAGCGAGAGTGGCACACGCGTTGTTCACCACTTGATGCGCAAAGAAGCCAGAGAAATCCGGATCATAGTCTCCTTGTATCTTGGAGTCCTCCCCTGAGGGCGACACCCATTTGAAGAGGAATATAAGCGCGTGAAGGGGTTGGAGCGCTGCCAGAGAGTCCGAATCGAGCGAGTATAGATCGTCGACTATGCACGGGACGCCGAGGGATTTCAGCAGCTCTCTGAAGATAATTGTAGGCCGGAAGAGTAGAGCAAGTGGAGGACACATACGTGAACACTCCAGGGTCAGACTCTGTAAGTTGCCAACCGTTCGAGTCTTCAGCCATGATGTTATTTGAGATTCAGTTGACACGCAGAGTTCTCTGGGTTCTCTTATGACAGTTGTACGGCCTTTCACTCACGACCACGAGATGAGCTGAGGTCGGTTGGCGAGAAATCGAGAGCGTTGACGCGTCCCTCCCACGTGACGAAATCTGTTTCGCGATCGTGACAGTGACACCCGAAAGTACTCGTAGCGCGCCAATCACTCTCAGGCAGCTACGTCGACCACGAATGGACACCAGTCCAGCCGGCACGTCGGTTCTGCAACTGTTCTGGTCCCATCTTCACTCCATTTCTAGACTCCGATCCGAAGGCTGTTAATCGGGCCCGGTTCGAGCTTGAGCTGGAGTTCCTGCAAGCGCTGGCGAACCCATACTACCTGCACTCGCTAGCTCAGCAGAACATTCTGGATCAGCCTGCTTTCGTGAACTACCTGAAGTATCTGATGTATTTCAAAGAAAAGGACTACGCGCGCTTCATTCAGTACGGCTTCTGCCTTGCTTGGATGACTACATCTGGTGCTGATGTCGTGCAGCTACCCTCATGCTCTACACCATCTTGAGTTGTTACAGCACGCCGAATTTCGCGCCAATCTGAAGCAGGACGAGTTCCGAGACTTCTTGCATCACAAACAGTTTGAGCACTGGCGGACCAATCGGAATGGGGCGTCAGACTTTGGACCGGCAGCCAAAGGGCAACCATCTCCGTAAAACTGGGCGTATAGATCGTGAGCGGCGGTCCACGAATGTGATTGTTGAAGTGACAATGGCTGGGATACGGAAGACTCGTTAGACACGTGACGTTTTTCGAGAGCCCACAAGAGATCTGATTCAGTCACTCAAGTATATTGAATTCATATCCGCAATCATGGTTCCAACGCTCTTTCGCGGAATCGTCATGAATATGAACAATTCTGAGAACTGCCACCGATATCCTCTTGCTTGACCGCGCTGTCCACCATGCACCAGGATCTTCTCCGTCTTTACTAGCTCAGTACGCTTCCTTCAAATTTGGGATTTCAAGATGCGCTGACTACTGACCGTCAGGATATCCTTCATTTCCATCGGCTCTCTGCCCCCATCTCGCATGGTCAAAAGTCATCTTGCTCTGAAGCACGAATCTTTCCGTTGTATTCATGAATCTTGAATATGCATCAATTTCCTGCCACCATCCTGACGCGATACAGCACGTCTCTCACAGATCTGGCAATAAAAAAAACATTGGGTGATATGATAATACATTGGGGCAGGTACATAGGTTGCTAGTAGTCTATGTGTGCGAAAGCGCAGTGTAGAGAGGTCCAACCAGGGAATGTGATTCACAAACGCGATAGGATACACTCAATCCTCCTCTTCTACGGGGGGCGCGGAGAAGCGGACACTCTTCTGCCGAGGCTGCAGCTCCGAGGTGCTTGTGCGCGGTGAGGAGGATGAGGAGGATGGGAGGACAGCCGGGCCCCGGAATGGGAACATCTTGTCCATGCGCAGTCGGAGAGACGATTTGGAGGAGTGTGGGGTGGAGGGAGCAGTCGACGTCACGTCCGTCGCGGAGGAGACGGAACTGGTCAGCCGTTGGACCCCTCCGCTGTTGCTCTTTTTCATGGAAGAGCGATCCGGGGGAGGCAAAGGCACTGGTTTGAGAGTCGGCTGAGGGTGAGATGCCAGGGCGGGGTATCTGGTCGACGCATGAAGATGAGGAGTACGCGACAGATGCAGTCCCATAGCGATCTGCTCAGCCAATGAGTGGAAGTTCCACTCAGACAGGAAGCACGCATACCTGCTCCACTGTAGGACGTGTCGCCGGAGTGTCATATCTGAATCTCTGCACGAACGGATTCCTCTCCTCCGGACTCGGATGCACTATTTCTGATGAATCTCGGCGCTTCGTCGCGGTAGAGAGAGTTCGGCGGACAGAGGTGATAATACGCGAGTTGAATGCCGGTTTCGGCGACTCCTCCGCAGAGCGCGAAGACGAGGGAGGAGAGGGATGGCGGGTACCAGGACGGGCAGGCATCGCATGAAATGGATAACAGGAGAGAGGATTAACCAGGTGGATAACGCATGTAAAAGTAAGCGGGCAACGCGCGGTAGGGCGTGCGAAATTGATGATGTATATACGCGGCACCTGGTTTGTCACGATCACGCTCGATCACTTTGTCACTCTCCTATATATGGGGCCGTACTCTCAGTGAATGGCCGGCGCACACGATGAGTCTTCACTGGACGAGCCACTGGTTGGCCGGACCTCTGGTCACACCGAACGAATCAACGGCTTTAGCATGTCGAACTCTCAGGATATCGTCTACGCGGCCTCTTTGGCGGAAAAGAAACGTCTGTGGTGGCGGAATGCTCTCCTAAATATGGTCTTCATCGGGTCCTGGTATGCTCGCTTTTCCTCTTCTCTTCGTATTGCGCGACTGAGCCAGCCAGGTTCTTGTTCTCCACCATCCTGTCTTTCTACAACAAGTGGATGTTTTCCGCTGAGAACTTTGGCTTTCCCTATCCACTGTTCGTCACCACCCTGCACTTCTTCGTTCAGTTTCTGCTGGCTGCTCTGCTTCGTAAAATTTGGCCTAAGCGGTTCATTCCTCAAGGCAGACCTTCCAAGTCAGACTACGGGTGAGTTACCAGTCTTGTTCTCGTCTTGGAACATGACATCTTCCAACCCCGGAACCGATTTGCGCGCTCTCTGTCTATCAATGCACGCTATGCTCAACAACTGTTCTAGAGTGAAGATAGCTCCGACAGCGATCGCGACGGGCCTCGACGTCGGACTCTCCAATCTCTCACTCAAAACTATATCATTATCCTTCTTCAGTGGGCCACTGACTTCCTTATCTTGCTTGAGTAACTCAAATCAGTTCGTAGCAATGTGCAAGTCCTCGTCGTTGATCTTTGTGTTGCTGTTCGCCTTCCTTTTCCGATTGGAAAAGTTCTCCCTGCGATTGGTTGGTGTCATTGCACTGACCTTCTCTGGTGTCGTCCTCATGGTGGCGACGGAAACTCATTTTGTCTTGGTCGGCCTCATTCTTGTGCTCATAGCCAGCGCGCTCGGTGGCTTTCGGTGGGCACTGACACAACTTCTACTCAAGAACAAGAAGATGGGCATGGACCATCCGGTAGCGACGATATTCTGGCTTTCTCCTGTGATGGGATTGACCCTCGGGATCATCAGCATGGTCCTGGACGACTGGTCGAGCCTCTTGGGATCCAAATTCTTCACCGGATTTGAGACTGTGAAAACGATCTTCTTCCTTGTCACGCCGGGCGTCATTGCCTTTTGCATGGTCTTGAGTGAATTTACGTAAGTTCTAGGTTGCTCACGATGACATTCGACTCATTCTGTGCAGGATTATCCAGCGAGCAGGAATTGTGCCCATGTCCATCGCTGGTATTGCCAAAGAAGTTACCACGATCAGTATGAGTGCAGTCGTGTTCGGGGATCCGCTGACCTTCCTGAATATGGTCGGTGTTGCTGTTACAATTTGTGGTGAGTAATGAATGATTCAGCCGGGCGGAGTTCGGACTGATCGTTGACCTGACCAGGCATTGCTCTGTTCACGTATCACAAATACCGTAAATCGCTGGAGAGCGACCTTCCTCTCGACGCACATGGCAACCCCGTCGACCTGGACGACAGCACTGCGGAATCACACCTGCTAAGCCACGAGCTGGATGAAACGGCGCGGTTGACTCGGGACAGTGATGAGTATGACAGTGTAATGTTTTCCGTTCTGCTTGACGCATGTCATTGACTGGCGGCCAGGATGATGACGGATTATCAACCAATCACACGCGGACACTGTTTTCCGCCGATGAAGACCAGGATGCTGAAGAGTTGCGAAGCATCCGATCCTCGAAGTTGGCTTGGAATACCGGGAGGGCCGGTCGAGAGGAGCCGAGCGCCGCTCCGTAGGCAAAATCAGCGGCGCAACCAAGCCATGAGGTCGTGCCATGATCTGATCACCACAGTGTGTTGTATTTCGCAGAGATTTGGTTGAGACAGGACATGCATCTTTGGAACTGCACATGATCCGCTCTGTATGTCTATCAGTTCTGCATAGAAGTTGCGTCGACGCGATTCGCAAGGTGAAGAAGGCGCGGGACCAACCTTGGACACACAAGACAACTTGGCCAAAGTAGGAAAACGTGGCACAGTTCTGCGGAGTGAATTCCGGATAAAAAACCTGCGTGTGAACGCGCATCAGCACATGCGCGTAAGCGGTATGTTTCAGCGAGCGGCGTCCTGGGCATTCCAGTTCCCGTGCATTCAGTAAATCAGCGGACATTTTGAAGGGACACCGGGGTTGCTGAGAGATGGAGATCTGGATCGGGCCCGTTGCCATCGCTCGATCGGATATAAAAATGGCCAAAGAAGTCCCAGATTCTGCCACAAAATAGGCTCGCTCGGGAAAAAAGAAATCTGGTCACGGTCACACCACAGAAAGGCCTTTGAGCGTTTCTACAGTCATTGATTTTTGTCCTTATAAAAGAGAGCGCTCCCGAATTAGGCCTCTTCTACCTTCCCAATGGACGACTCCTTCCAGTTCATCATTGAATCGCCTCAGAACACCACGGGCCATAAGAAGCGCCCGCGTCTCGTTACATCTTGCGACAACTGGTCCGTCGGTCCCACACCGCTCTAGTCCGACTTCTGACGCGTCTTAGTCGCCTCAAAAAGATCAAATGTCTACAGTCATCTCCCGAGTCCAAATGCGAAGCGTGCAAAGTCGCCAAAGTCGCCTGCCGATTCAAGGACCGCGAACGCTACTTCGCCGAGCGTAGTCGCGCTATAGCGGGCCCAAATGTTGGATCTCCTTATGGCGAAGAACCGAGGTACGCAATAACAAATTCCAAGCGAATAACCCCGCATTGATTTCCTAGATCACCCTCTCTCGACATGCATTCCGTTCCTTCCAGCGCGTCCCCTGTAAGCCCGCGCTCGTCCAGCAATTCCCCGCGACCAAGCGGTGTCGCGGTACCCGATGGGGACCCACGCTACCTATCATATCCGCCAGAATCGCGTCGCTCGACAGACAGGTCCGTTCCATCTCATCGGCGGCACAGCTTCAGCCCGGATTCTCATCCCCTTCAGGCGGGGAGCTTCCTCGACACTCCGTTCCTCACGGCCTGATCCAATAGGGTATGTTTGATGTCACCGCACACACCATGGGCGCTGTTCTGAAAGTTATGCAGCCGATCACCCGGGGCGCGTCCGCTGCCCCTGTTCGATCCAGACCGACCGCAGTTCCCTCTACCAACCTACATGTCGCATTTCATACAACTTTTCTTCCAGGAGATGGCACCCGAATTCCCCTATGTAACATACGACGACGTCTCCACACGCTTCATGAAAGGCACTTTGCCAGCTTTGCTGGCTAACTGTATCGCCGCCTTGGCTGCTAGGTCGGTTCCGGCTCACCGGCCGCCTCTGGATGCTACTAACCTGTGCTCGAAGGTCATCTACCGATTCCGAACTTGCTGCACGAGGGCTCTCTCATGTAGCGGAGACATATGCGGACAATGCCAAGGTTTGCGGTCGGCATGGCGTGGAGTGGAGTCATTTGCTGACTGACTCTTTGCAGACAATCTTGGCACCCATCTCGCAGATACCCCAGCTGACCACTTTGCATGGTCTGATGCTTCTTTGCTGGTTCGAATACAAGAACAGCCGGATGGACGGTAGGCAGATCCCGTCAACAGTCTTGGGTGTCTTCTAATGCAGAAGCAGGTCTGCGGGGCTACTTCCAGATGGCCATGGCGATGGCGATGAAGTTGGGCCTTTCTGAACAGAACCCGCCCGCAGTCAATGCATCCGAGGCTGAGCGGAACATCAGACGATCGACATGGGCCTGTGTTCTGCAGCTGCATCTCACCGTGACATCCTGTGAGTGACTGCGTTGATGCGTCGACTCTTCCCAGGCTGACTGTCCAACAGACAGTTAATCACTAGACGGGAATGGACGTCTTATAATATCCGTGGACTAGAGCGCATAATTATCCGACTAATGGCACGATTCACAGTGGATTATAGACAATCCTGATGTACGTACCATCGCAACTCTCTCGCAATACATAATCACGAGTGGCGATCGGTTGAGTAGCTTTGTAGGAGAGTAGGCGGCTTAGTACTGTATACATTCAATTAATACAACGCAGTTTTGCAATTGTTATTGGCGATGATAACTGGCACTGGCCGAGGCACGGAGCTTGACAGCCATGCCATTTTGACTACCTGGGATAGCATTCCACAGGCGCTGCATCGAGGGCATCGAGGAGACGCTTTCCTTCTTCCACACTGTTCCCGACATCGACAAGTTATTCGGACTGTTCGATTGGACTATCCCCCGAGATTCCGGGATGGACTGGACTCCCCCAGCCTCATGATAGTCATGTCAAGCTAGACATGGTCACAGACAGTCTGGAACGTGTCTGTGTCTCCGACCTTCTGCCCGTTTTCAGGGATAAAATGACATGCCACATGCGAGTGCGCAGATCCTCTGGTCGACCCGACAGCTCATTCGCAGGTCCGCGGGAAGCTGGCAAGGGCTACGGCGTCCGGCTCCTGTCCAAGCTTACTGGAAGGCGTCAGGGAAAGTACAGGCCCGATCGCGTCACAGTCCGCACTCGGCTCCTCGCTGGACTTTGTGAGTCGATACCCTGAAATGCTTCCTCTCTTCCCTGGGCGTTGGACGTTCCCAGGCCATAATAAAGTTGCATCTTAGGCGCTCAGGATAGGACCCGCCCGCAGCATCTGGAACTGTCACGTGTGCGCCCGAGGAGGAAGGACGAATTGGGCGAGTTGTATTTTTAGATCCGGATGCATTCGTCCCCTCTCCACAGAAAACATGGCACTGGCGCGCAGCCTGTCATCCTGCAACTCGGAGGACGTGTGTGATTTTGATCGGAGACTGAACAGTCAAAATGACATTCGCATGTGAAGACGTCATCGATTGAGAAGAAGAATGTATTTGACGATATATGGACTCATTGCTGTGCCAGACAGCTGTTGTGCGATGGAGAGAGTTGCAATGACGGTCGAAGCCCCTAACCTTCTCGGCCCGGTATACCCGCTCACCATGTGTGATCCGCTGATTATCAGCATAGCCATGGCGACTTCCCCGCGCTTCGGAAGTGTCAATGATAATGGCATCGGGCTCTTTCGGTACTCTGGGGATTTCATTGCCCATGCTACGGCGCGCAGACAAAGCGCCAGTCAGGCGGGCTATTGCTATATAGACTGCGGTCGATATCCTCGACACCTGAAGCGTCTGTTATCATCAAGTCGGAGTCTCCGTGGAAACTCAACAGTTCAATATCCCGTTGGACTGATAGTATTATTTGGCACTGTCGGCCCGTCACAGCCAGTCACCTTCTCTTTTCGATACTCACCATCCCTGGGAGGCAGAGCCTCTATTTCCTTCGCAACATACAGCAGCGCTGCTATACCCCTTCTTTATTTAGCCCTCCATGTCGGACGTCGATGCTCTGCTCCCGGACGGGTCGGTCTGGTTGATGAAGACGGCTTACACGCTTCGGGAAGTTCACGGAGTTTCGGTGCGTACGGCAGAGAAGTGGAGCTGGCTGGCCCCCCGGTGACTCAACGACCTCTTCTAGGTTCTTGTTGTGTTTTCGTGCTTCTCTCTCATCGCTGTCGTCGGTCTGTTGGGGGCCATCGGGGTACGAACATCATCTGCGTATCTGGTACACGACCCCAACCTTATTTGTTCCAGTTATCCGCTTTCAACACTCGCTCTTCCTTGGATCAACATCTTTTCGTCCGAACGCATGTCGCGGCGTACTTCCTCTCGCTTCTGTTGGCGGATATGATTCAGGCAATTGGTTCCATCATGAACGCAAAGTGGATTGCGGGGATGGTGACCGAAGTTGGTTCTTTCTGTACCCTCCAGGGTGAGCAGTGTTTGAACATGACCGCGGCTCACGTTCGTGACGCATCTTTGCAGGGGTGTTGAAGCAGACGGCTGATGTGGCCACGGCGTTTTGGACATTGGTGATCGCCATCCACACATTCTGCCTGCTGTTCTTGGAAATCAAGTCCAGCCGCTTCACGCTGATGACGACTCTCATCGCTGGGTGGGCCGGTATCGGGACCATCGTCATCGCTGGACCCGCGTCTATGAACACCAGCAAGCACGGCCCGTTCTTCGGCATCTCCGGATACTGGTGTTGGATCGCGCCAAACTATCCTCACTCGCGGGTCACCCTGGACTACATGTTTGCAAGTCCTGGCGCCTATATCCAAGAATGTTATCTAATCGAAAACAGATGTACATCGCCGCCATCTTCAGTTTCGTCCTGTACATCCTCATCTTTTTGCGGATGCGAGGCAACATCATCGTCGAAGGATTCCGCATTTCTTTCCGTCGTTCGGGGCTCAGTCAATGGCGGGGGAAACGATTCAACGCCCAGGCTTTGACTATCGCCAAGCAGATGCTTTTGTCGGTTTGATTCCTGTGCAAGTCTTCTCTGCGTTGATTATCAGTGCAGGTATCCCATCGCATACACAATCCTAATTTTGCCAATCACGGCATCGCGATTCACTTACTTTGCCGGCTATCGTGTTCCCTTCGGCGTCACCATCTTTGCGTAAGTTGGGCCATAGTATGAGTCAATGGCGCAAGCTCACCGGCTCCCAGCGACTCCATCTTCCTGCTCGACGGTGTCGTCAATGTGACCCTCTTCGCGATGACCCGCCGGATTTTGCCTCCCGACTCCTTCAAGATCCCCAAGTGGAAGATCTCGCGGCCGACCCCGATCCCCGAGGCCACGTTCGATCCTGGCCTGGATTCGTACTATCAAGCCTCGGGCAAATACGTTCCTTTCGACGAGAAGGAAGACTCCCTTCCTTCGGTGCCAGTATTCCCCAAACCCATCCACAGCCGCGACATGTGATTGGGACCCTGTTTGTTTTGGATATAAGTTATTTGTTACTGTACGCTGCTTGTAAGGTTACATCTACTCTCGCCCCAGCGTAAGCTGTTCTGTCGACCAGGGAAGCGGGCCGCTGTACAGCCGGGTGTGTTGTTTGGGGCACCAAGCCAGTAAGGGCCCGAGCTCAGGATTGCTGGCAAGATAGGGCGCATGACGCATATCCTGGTTCCTCTGCCGACGTTTCGACGCGAGATAATCGTGGCATCCGTACAAATCATGGACGTAGGGCAGGTATCCGTTTTGGAGCTATAGAAAGGGTTCTTGAGTGCGCGAAGGTCTTCGAAAGGCGGGACTGACCTCTCCTTCCCTCGCAAGGGTGTTATCTCCCTCGATGTCGACGCCGATGTAGTCGAACCGGGCCGCAGGCCATCGCAGCGCAGCGCGGTGCAGATTGACGAATCGGTCCCGCTTCATTTCGTATCCGACGACTATGATCGTTTCCGGGTACGCGCCGGTGTACTCGTAGAACCTCGCGATGGAGAACAGCAGGTTCTGGAACGAATCGAGCGCATAGTCCTCGGACGTCGCGCGATGGAATGTTTCCGCTGGTATGAGCCCCGACTTGAGTGCTAGTCGTAGGTATGATTCGCCTTCCGAGGTTGTGGAGGATGCTTGAGTATGACCCCTGCCAAAAACCAGTCAATTGAGACCCGTCGCCAAACCGCGTAGAAGGTAGTCATACCCACTGAATACAAGGAGTGATTCCGCGTCGCTTAGCGCCAAACGGACCCTAGGAGACGTTGAGGGGGACAGCAAGGGACGTTGGGAACCCACGCACGCGTTAGATATGTGTCGGAAGAACACGTCGAGACGCGCGGACTAGACGATGCTGACTGATGAGTGCATCCATGGTGCTTAGGTGTGAGCCTCCTGACCTGATCCTGGTTCTTCTGGTACGTCTGGAACGCCCACTGGTCCAAACTCAAGCGCAGGTCGGGATCGACGCCTTGCCAGATAGCGTGTCCCGGCACGATGATGAGGTGCTTCAGCTGCTGGAGCTCAGGCAGCAAAGTAAGAGAAGAGGAAGCTAGGAGTGAGGTTGTGAATGGAGCAGATACGTAGTATTGGACATTGAGGAGGAGGGAGAGGAACGCCAGACACGCTAGGCCTAGGACCGCAAGATTCGTGGCACGCGAACGACTGAGTAATGTCTTGCGCCTGCGGTGGCTTCAGAGAGGGTGAAATAATGAAGGGCAGAGATACTGGCAGTTTTGAGGCACGTCTACTCTGCCCTCGATCTAAGGACACGGAGGTGGGGAGCATAAATTAGCGCTGCTACTTAGTCATGCCGTCTTCGTGGCTAATCACGTGGTCACGAGTCGAGCAAGGGACTAGTGTAAATAAAAGTTTGGATGCACATAGGGCAACTTCTATGCGATACAGCACTTTAGATAACATCATAGGACGCGCTTTTCGAATTCCCGCTGGATCGCCCATTTGACTGCCTCCTCAACATTTTCAGCGTAGTGAGTGGGCACGTGAGTAGGTTCACCCCCCGAGTAGACCCCCGTCTTCACCAAAATTGAGTTCCAACCTGCAGCGTTGGCTCCGGCAATATCTGAAATAATTCGAGTAAGCCATGTCACAAAGAAAGCTGATGAAATTACCGGATTCCGGATTATCTGGTTTTCGTTGGAATGGCATCGAAAATGAACGAATGAAGAAGCAACGTACCGCCGACCATGTAACTTGTGTTCGACCAATTCAGCCATCAGCAGGTCAAAGAAATGGGTAACTTACACTTCCGGAAGCGCGCCTCTGAAGCTGTACATCTTCTCAATGCGCTCTTGAAGGACTGTTGAGGCAAATTCATAGGTCGCTCTTGTAGGCTTGCCGAGTTGAACATGTCTAAGCGTGGAATAAATCACATCGAAACGAGTGCTTCGGTCTGGCTCACGGATATTCCGATCCCGTGAGTTCCTTTGACGGTGTTACTTTCCAGGTCGAGAGACGGATTCATCAACTAACTTTGAATACAGCTTGGAAGGCAGTTTTGAACGCTCCTTGGCCTGAGTGCAATCAGTAGAGTTTCAAAAACAGCCAGGAGGGCCGGTCACCTAGGCGAGGCTGCTCGAAATCCGATCGCCAAATCAGATCCGGGTTGCAGAAAACAAGCTCGACGGGCTTCTTCTGCTCGTGCAATGGTATGTATGGCCCACCGACAACTCCCGCAGATTGGATGATATCACAGATGATTTGAACTGCCATCTGCGTGAGGGACCCATTTGCCAGAAACGGGGCGGCGACGAACCATCGAGGGCCCAGTCGCGGGGATCATGGAACACGAAGACAGCGCCAATGCGAGTTTGAGAAAAGTCAATATCCTACTCGAGCGCATATTAGCGAGCGGATATCATGTCGGGAGTAACGGACCTGTGCCTTTGCCCGCTCTTCGTCAAGCAGCTGGTGGAAGGGCCATACCCTGTAGATATCTCAATGGATGAACGAGCACTGCTGATCCCTGACGCACGACGAATTCCAAGCCAGGACGTCATGCGAAGTGCATGCCTTGTTGAAGCCGTATCTGGAATGTATGAGCGAACGGAACCCTAGACCACGAAGCAACGATACGCACTCGACGGCAACCTGCCGAACCTGATCTCGTTTGCCTCCCAGCACCAGCACGGATTTATCCTTATACTTGCCAGCAAGCGTCTTGAGAATTGTGTGAGCTTGGATGTATTGCTGAGACTCTATCTAGAGATGAGGAATATCAGTAAGGCGTGAAAATGCATCACCATATGACTATATTACTTGGTAGCCCAGCTTCGTGCTCAGTGCACGGCAACGATCGACCTCGCGGACTCCGCCACCATTGGTGAGCTAGATCGTCTTAGCCGGGGTGGTCTAGAGAGAAAGATAAACCTATACAAGGATATATGGCAGTTTCCTTGGAACGTCACAGTCGGAATGGGAGAAGCGGCATCTAGCTCACATGTTGTAAGGGTTGTTCCCTTCCATCATGGACAGGGCTCGTTTAGCAGGCGGAAGGACGTCTTCCCCCCTGACTAATACTCCGTCAATGTCAAATGCGAATGCAAGAGGAGGTGGCATAGATCGCGAGGCTGCATCCGTTCGAAGATATCTAATGGCATGACGAGTCTGGTATCTTGAATTCTTGAGCCGATGCAAAGCGGGGATATGATGCTTCGAAGCGAAGGAGACTCTAAACGCAGAGCCCAACATTCTGTATCCGCTGAAGAGTGGCAGTACTTACACGGGACTATGCGGCTCGCGCTTCGTCACCATCACGTGAGTAGTGTAACATCACCGTCGGGGACACCGGGTGACCCGTCAGACTGATACTCATTTCGGTGCGAACGAGCATGTCGCGTTACTCGTTGACCTCTTCTCACGCCTCATCCAACTCGCCATCTATCACGATGGAGAAGGGAAGGTATCGGCTACGAGCTCCCGCGCCCATCGAACCCTTTGCCTTGAACCTCGGTCGAGCCACCGCTCTCACACAGCGCACGTCACCGCATAGCCGTGCTCGCCAGAGAACCTCCTCTGTTGCAGCCGGGTTGGTGATCATCCTCGCTCTTTGCAGTCTGGCTAGTTTTGGGTTCGCGTACTACCTTTTCACCACGAGGTGGGGATCCACCGCCCTCCATGACAAGCCAGGTCTCGCTGACGAACACCATCAAGTTATCCCGTTTGACCTGCAAACTCGCACCTACCCCGAATCCGAAAAGTTTATCTCGTACCTCCCTCACAGCGGTCTCCACAACCAGCGCATTGCTCTCGAGAACGCACTCGTTCTTGGTGTGTTGACGAATCGTACTGTTCTTGTTCCTCCAGTCCGACTAGGTACCAAGTCTATCCGCTATCTCAACTCTCAAGCTCTGCAAGACGTCCTCGCCATTTCGGGCAAGGAGGGTCTTCACCATTGCGCTCATGTAGGGTCCCCCTTCACGCCTCCAGAATGTTTCGACTTCGCCACTTTTACGCATGTCTCACCAGCGTGGCTGTTCAACCTGACCCATGTCCACGACTTGGTCCGCCTGGAACACATGGCCGATCTGTCTCCACGAGCGACGCTCGCTCGCCTGAACCTCACTTCGGCCCACGTGGCTGCGTTCCCCGATTCCAACCCATACCAATACCGCTTTCTGGACACGCAGAGCAATTCAAGTCACAAGTATTCCGAGACCTTGTTCATCCCCGACTTGGCTGCTCTGCCTCACCGCCTGCTTTCGCTTGGAACATTGTTTGGTTCCTCGCGCTTGAGGCTGAGATTAGAAGGGAACAAGAGAATCCGCACGACTGTTCGCGAAGCCATGGACTTGACCACACCCGAGCTCGGCCATATCGCTGATAGAATCCGTGATGCGATGGGCGGATATTACCTTGGCATCCACTTGAGACTCGGAGATGGATCATTCAAGGAGGAACACCACAACACTCTACACCTGACGTGGTGGAAGTTGGTACACGAGATCATGCAATTCGATCACGCGGACACATTGGCCTTGGGACGGCGTTTTGGCCTAGACCCGGCTGTCTCGGAGTTCCGAACACCTTCCTCTCATGTTCTATTCAGATCTCTACCAGAAAACTCTTTCTCAGACGCTCAGTTACAATGCCGCCGAAGACGCCATCGTGCTGCCAGTCTGGTCAAACTGAACTGGCCGTTGTTCATTGCCACAGACGTCGATGGACCTGCAACTAATGAGCTGCTGGCCCCATTTCGTCGGGCGTTTCCATGCGCGTTGTTTCTGTCGGACTTTACCGATCAGCTGCAGCCACTCGGTAGAATCAAGAACGCGTACGACGGGGCGGAAATGCGGCCTTTCTTGTCATCGCTAGTCGATGCCATGGTGGTGGCTCGAGCTCACGTGGTCATTGGCACGGAGGGCAGTACATACAGTCAGTTTATTCAGGATGTCTTATGGCCGAGATTCCATGGCCTGCCGATAGTGGAGAGAGGATAGAAGATAGAAGGCATTTTTACTATGTGAACACGGCACTCAATCGAGAGCTGATGATGCTAGATGGCCAGTCGGCTACAACTTGAACTGATGCTATGGCGATGATCATGAAGCGGCAAATCAACCCTCTTTCACGTTAGCGGACTCCGGGTTTCAGCCTCGCAACGCTTCCTATTGTTGTCAATGATCACAATGTATCGAATATCTCCTTCGCTTTCACCATTTCCTACAGCCTATCCCTGTCGCCACCATGACTGCCCTGCCTAGTCCCAAGCCGCAGTTCGCGTCCGCCGCCTCTCGTTTGCCACCTTTGCTTTCTCCGAGGCCAGGCATCAATGGCTTCACTATCCCTCCTTCGCCGCGCTTTCCGAAGAGTCCGGGTGGCAAGGGAGAGGGTGAGCGGTTGGATCAATGGTTCGAGGACCTTTCCAAGTACGAAGCGACTGTGGTGAGTCATCGTCGATCCCTCCCTTGCTGGAATGGCAGTGCTCAAGTCTTGTAGGCAGCTATGGCCGAAGCATCCACTGATGCCAAATTCCATGAAGAACTCGGGACGATTGAGCAATGTATCTTGTCCGCTTCTGTTGATGATGTTCTATCTGACGCCTATGCAGGGTTCGCCGTCCTGTCCGAAGCCGAACGGACTGCGACTCTGTATACTCTGCTGCAACACTCCAACCAGAATCAAATTAGATTCCTGATCGCTGTGTTGCAGCAGATGGCCGGCCCTGCGCCTTTGACTGGTGAGATGACCTGAGATCTACCACCCCATATTAAGCTGAGCACCACCGGCCAGCATCACTCGACGGGTCCTTCAAAGCCAAGCAGCAACAAAAACCTTCGGGCCGCAACCTTCGTCCCCCGACCTTGAACATCCCTGTGCCCGAAGCTCCCGCCGCTCCGGCGCCTGTATCTGCTGCTCCTCCAGAACCGACCGGCCCGGGGCAGGATGTTGTCTTCAACCGTCCGGCAGATGCCAGCTGGGCCAATATGGTCAACACGCCCTTCACCCCGATGTTTCAGAAGCCGGCTCCAGCGCAGAACCAACAGCCCGTCGCGGCGATGCCGGGTCTCAATCCTATGATGGTTCCCCCGGGCATGATCAATCCGATGCAACTGAACAACATGGCGCTTTCCAACGAAGCCCAGCTGAATCAGCTATTGGCCATGCAGATGATGTTGAACGGGATGATGCAGCAACCGGGAGGGATGCCGCAGCCTGGAATGATGCAGCCGCCTCCGCCGGCTGCGAAATCGGGCAAGGGCTCGAATTGGAGGCAACAGGGAAATGCAAGACACACGGGCAACGCGGCGCGCGGTGGGAGCTCGAAAGGCAGCGGCCACGGAGGGCAGAGTGCATCGTCATCTGCCCCGGGAAACAGCAACCGTGAGGATGATGTCGATCCGGAACTTTTGAAGGACGTCCCCGCCTGGTTGAGAAGCCTGCGTTTGCACAAATACACTGTCTGTTTCGCCGGGATGACTTGGGAGGATATGGTAGCGCTCGATGACTCGGCGTTAGAGGTCAAGGGTGTGGCTGCTTTGGGAGCTCGACGTCGTCTGCTCAAGACTTTCCAATCGGTCAAAGTCAAGATGGGCATGGCGCCTGCCCCGGATTCCGATCCTGTTTCGGCCGGGGCTGTTTCAGCATCAGAGCCATCTCCCTGAGAGCCCGCTGCTTCTTGAATGGACTTTATTCATCGCCCGAGCTGGCCTCGCTAGCATGGATTTATGCACTCTGTACCTTCTCCATCTACACTTAGGACATTATTGAATTCATCCCCATTACACATTTCAAACGACTGCTACACAGATAAGATTGTCAGAGAATGCGCCGAAATGAACTGTTGTCTCGAACTGCGCCATGCTGTGGGAAGATGTTGGAATAAGCCGCACAAAGTTGGTGAGGGCAGATCGCAGAGACTTGAGCTGGATTCGAGAGACATGATGAATCGAGACCGGAGACGAGAGCTATACTGAGACGGTCAAAATTCTAGTCTTACTTAAAACGACTATCACGAGTCCGGTCTGCAAAAGAGACTAAGTCTCTGGGATCCGGTTCCAACACGACTGAGGAACGCAGAAGTTGATCCCTGCACGCTCGTATCGTTGCCTGGATTGTGCTCCTGCTTTCAATCCCAGTGTGAACCACGACTCGCGACGGATGGAAAGGGAGGGAGGAATGGGAAGTTGAGCTATAGCGTGTATGGCGACTTGTCAAGTCGGTTCGTTTTGGCTCAGTCACGCAACCGGCAAGCCCCTACTGTCGCAGCCGAGCCAATCAGTCCTTGGGTAAGCGCTTGAATAAAGATAGAAGAGTTGGTGGAAGCCTTTCTTCCTATGTTTCACAGGGCGGAACGCAGCAGCTGAGGTTTAAGCGACGTGACAACTGGTGATTACAAGCGCGATATCCTGCGAAGCGTTGATCACGCATTGCGAATGACCAAAATGCGATGCTGAGCGAATAGCTGGAACGAAAGCGTCCTCACCAGGAGATAGCGGGAATATTTATATCGATAATAGAAGCTGATCCAAAGCTCTTGTCTTCTGCTATCATGTTGACCGTCGCAGTCATCGCAGCCGGTATGCAGTCGTTCTAGCAATTGGAGACGGCTCGCCGACGCTTGCATTGGCAGGAGCTATGGGTGCAGGAGTTGGCAAGGTTCTCACACGCAACGGCGTGAAGGTCTTGACCAATTTGGACAATCGGTCCAAGGCAACCCGTGAACGCGCTGTCGCAGCTGGGATGGAACACGCGTCGTTCAAGACAATCGGTGCTACATGCCAATGGGTTCTCTCTATTCTACCACCAAGCGACGCATACGCTCTTGCCGAACGGTTTCTGGCAGAATCGGTAGCCGAAGGAGCTGAAACCCCGACCTTTGTCGACTGCAACGCCATCAACACGGTCACCGTGCACAAGATCGCTCAATTGTTCCAGCATACTCCGGTCAAGTTCATAGACGCGTCCATTATCGGTGGGCCGCCACAAAACGATGGGTATTTGCCAACAATCTACGCCTCTACGCACGATCTTCCTCTTCTCGAACGCTTCGCCAGTCTCTCTGATCATGGGCTCAAGATCTCCCTGTTGAGGGGGGAAGGTGCTGGGATCGGAGATGCCAGTGCACTCAAGATGTCGTACGCAGTGAGAACGAGTACATGGCTCTACGTCTTCACCATTCCCTGAAGCTTTCCAGGGAATCTCCAAGGGTGCAACAGCTCTCTACGCAACAATGATTCTAGGTCAGTAACGACTTCGAAACCCGGTTTCGCACAACACACTTACCCACTCTTTTTAGCTGCTCATGAGGTGAATACTTCCAAGAAATGACTGTTTTGAAACCACTGGAACGACTTCCAGGCATCTCCTGCCACGGCAGATGCTCTAGTGAGCGAAATGCACGCTTCGCAGCCCGAAGTGTTGCGACGACTGACTAACAGCATTCCACCCGTGTGTTGGCATTCACTCCAAGTGGAGTTTGTCGTTGACTGATCCTGTCAGATGGTCGACAAGGCCTATAGATGGGTCGGGGAGATGGAAGAAATCTCTGAATTTGTGGGTGGAGGTTCCGGTGAGATATATCAGGGCATGGCCAAGCTCTACTCTCGCATCGAAGCGTCCAGAGCTGGAGATAGAAAGGACATTGAAGTCCTGACTGATTTCGTGACGAAGGCGAAGAAAAGATTTTGAGGGATCTAGTGTTGTATTAGATCAAGGCTTGGACGTGTGAAGGCGAACGGATCAATTGGTTGCGTCTATTTGCGATCGACCTCGTTTTCTCTTGACGGGTAGTCGCTTTGCGGCGTCTCCTGCTTATCTTGGCGTACCCCGAGCTCCCACATCCTACTGTTTATGTTCTTTTTCTGAGCCCTTGACCGATCAACATGTCTGCGACTGAAATTCTCCCTACTCCGCCTTCTTTACCTCGATCATCTGCTACTTTCAGCACCATTCCTTCCATTGCTGACCGCAGCCCTTCTAACTATCATTCTTCGCCCTCTTCGGCCCTCCGCAATCCACGCTCGATGAAAAGCTTGAATAGCTCGGTCTCCTCGTCAAGGGAGACGACGGAGGAATGGGGGTCTAATTTCTGGGTTACTCTGGTTGATCCTCAAGTGCGTTAACGTCTATTCCTGGTGTCATGGACGAATCGTGAACATCGGGAACAGACTCAAACATCGTTTTTCGCTTGTCCGGCTACGGGGCAGGTCAGTTGGGACCCTCCCGTAGGGAATTTCGTGTTACCTCCTAGTGCCGATGGCGAATGGTGGGAGTTGAGCGACGACTCCCGTGGCGGACTTTCCTACTACTATCAGACTAAAACGGGAGAGACTGTATGGGATAGGCCTGCGGGATTCGTCATTCCCTTGGGTATAATACAGGTGCGTCGTACGTGGCGGAGATAACTTGCACCGGCTAACCGTCCCATAGAACACCGCTCTCGGCCGACGTTTATCTCAGACGGCCTCCTCTAGCCGATTTTCCAAACCTGAAGACGGGGCTGCTCCTCTCTCGCGAGCGTCTTACCGAAGATCCAAGTCGTACACGGGACCGCTACAGGCTTATGCTCATTCCGACATGGACCGCTCGTCTGCGAGTGATCGAAATGCCATTTCGCGTCTATCACACCTGCATTCGAATTTACCGCCCATCCCAGGCTCGTCGCCCGACAATACAGACGTTGCCTCGTCGTCCTCATCAAACAAATCTGCCTCCGTCACTCCAAACGGGTCGAAGAGACCCAAGGAGAAGAGTAACTCACCCGGAAAGCCGAGATTAGCGGGCGCTGCCCAAATCTTGACCCAAACTCGCGCATTCGTTCCAAATCATCGTCCTACGTCTCGCACCGATCTCCCCATCCGCAAAGTCTTAATGCCGCCGTTGAGATGTTAGCGGGCTCTCAGTCCGATAGTGGGCACGGATCGTCGAGACAGCCGTCTGGACAGAGTTCCAAGCTTGTTTCTCCGCAAACACCGACGCGAGAACGGACCAAGGCGCCGCCCTCGCCGCGAAGGCCAGTTCCGGCAACTCCACCTTCTCGGACTGTCGCTGGCAAAGGAATCAGTGCGCCCGTACCCAATCACGGTGAGAGTCGCCTTGTCAGCTGTCCATCTCTTTTTTAACATCGAACAGCGGCGACTTTGGAAATGAGCCCGGTCAAAAACCGAGCTGGGGGGAAACCCATTCTCGTGGGCCCGAAGATCTCCACCCCCAGTGTTCGCTCGTCGCCTCTGCCATCAGGGTAAGTCTATTTTGGTCGCGCAACGTCTGGCATCTGACCGTCTGTCTCTGTTCACAAGAACACATCCCGTCCTTCCATCCGAACTCGTGTCGGATATACAACAATTTTCGGAATCAGACTTTGCCCGACGTTACTTCTCTACTCATCGGACCGGATTTATATTTAGAAGGCGGGTTCCCGTTGCTCAACTGATGAGCTGGCAGAAGGTGCGTACCATCCAATCAGTCCGACTGCTGACATGCACTGAAACTCGACAGATCCCGCTGGCATCCCCTCTTCTGACATTGCATCGCAGCCTCAACAGGGACGCGGTGAAGATCTTCAAAGTGATTCAACACATAATGGGCGATCGCGAGAAAGACAGGCCAGTCGGGGTTCGGTTGGAGACCGAATCTCCTTCCGTAGTAGCACCCATCAACGCGTCTACAACCTCGTTGAACATCAGCACGGTGGGGATCATCGAGGAAGAGCGTTGGCTCCTGGGTGAAGGCCTGAAGCATGGCGAATTGAGAGACGAGATTTACTGCCAGGTCATGAAACAACTGACAAACAACGCCAATCCGTTCGTTTTGTGGATCCCTCCATTGCGTCATGTATTCAACTGTTTCTTGCAGGGAGAGTGTTTTCAAGGGCTGGCAACTGTTATGCGTGCTGCTCATCACCTTCCCGCCTTCCAAGAATTTCGAAGCCTACCTGCAATCTTTCATTCAACAACGAACCACCCAGCCGGAGGGTCGTGTCGATGTCATGGCCAAGTTCTGTCTCAAACGGCTTTCGGTCATCTGCAAAAAGGGCCCCCGCGGCAAACCACCGACACCCGCAGAGATCGAGACAGCCTCGGTTCGCACACATGCTCCATCACTCATGACCGACGTTGACACTCGCCCCAGGATGCTGCTTTCAATCCTTCCACGTTCGGAGAGTCTCTTGACGCTGTCTTTAGGCTGCAAGAGCGGACGTATGGCAACCAGAAGGTGCCCATCATCTTGCCTTTCCTGGCGGATGGTATCTTGGCGCTCGGGGGCAGCAAAGCCGAAGGAATATTCCGTGTCCCGGCGACAACGACTCTGTTCCGAACTTAAATTGCGGATCGACAAGGGATACTACACTCTGGACGGCGTTGACGACCCCATGTTCTTGCCTCGCTCATGAAGTTGTGGTTGCGAGAACTGTGCGATCCTCTGATCCCTGAAGAGATGTACAACGAATGCATATGGTGTTCAAAGGACCCGGCGTTTGCGTGCGGATTATCGAGCGTCTACCAACCCTCAACCGCCGGGTGGTGCTCTTCGTAGTCAGCTTTCTACAGCTTTTCCTGGAAGATAGAATCCAGGCAGCGACCAAGATGACGCCCGCGAATCTGGCGCTGTGATGGCTCCCAACCTGCTTCGCTGCAATTCGGAGTCGATGTCTGTTGTATTCACCAATGCCCAGTCAGTGTCGTCTTCTTTGTCGGCGTCTATTCTTTCTTACTGTGTTCCAATCCAGATACGAACAAGTGGTCGTGTACAATCTCCTACTCCATCTCAAATGCGGGCAAATCGACCAAGGCTACAAGCCCGCCCATGGCTGGGGAGCAGTTTCAGACGGATCGCCGCCTCGCAAGTCTCGCTCCCGACGCCGACTCACTCGTAGCATCCTCCCTATGTAGCACACATACCACCATACCACTCACCCACTCACGATACTCTCCTTACCTTCATCTATCTGGGGCCCACATTCATTGCATGTAGCATATATCTCTATACGCTATCGCTTCTCCGGATCATAATGCTGTAATACTACATTGTTGAATCCCCAATCAACGTCTTTCTCCTCGTCCTCCCCTTTCCAGCGATTCCACGGTGATGATCGCTTGCGCGACGCAGGATTCCTCGGGGAAGCGGCCATCTTGGAAATGAAGCCGTCGATGTTGGACAACATGTCCCAAACCGGGAAACAACTTCGTTTTCCTCGTCCACATACTCTTGTCGCTGACGTCCCTCCGTACTCCCTCGGCCAGCGCCAGGGTCTTGCTGTCCATGTCGACCCCGTTCAAGACATCTCGTCCAGAGCATCATGGACGCCTTTCAGGTTTGAAAGCATTTCCGCGCGTGGTGATCGCTCGTTGTATGCCCTCGTCGAGCATCCGAACACGTACGAAGGCACGGACAATCT